GAAAGTATTGGAAAATTTTCATTATCGAAAAAGCTGTCTAAGAATCCACAAAAAATTCTCCGATATAGATCTCGTTGCTTCAAAATGTGTAATTTAGGTCTCGACGACCTGAATCGAAAAACACAGCGTATCCTGGACCAAGATTCCGAAATAATTGTTTTCAAATATCCCAAAAATTCCCATTCATGTGATGTGATCTGTGGTTTATAAACTATTTTATCTCCTGACATTACAGTACTAAAATTCACATTGAAATGACAGTTTTAATAAAATAATAAAAACGATTGTGTTCAGAAGTCTGATAACGTCATCTGTAGTAGATTTCCAAATATCCAAAATATGAAAATGAGGTATAATCAACGACAAAAACTATTATATATCTAGTAATATGTATGTGTGGGATTTGAAATGGTTGACATTTTTTGTATGTTTTTAACTTACTTAGCTTCTGTCGCATGTCGATATCTCGATTAGTAACACAATTGTTGGTTGTGGAACAAAATATGGGATACCTTGGTGTGTAAGAATGACTTCTGTAAAGACAGATACGGTGTGACAAGTGTCGAATTTTGTATTTGTTAATGTAAAAGTTTGCGAATCCGGCCCTGTTTCGGAGGGGGAGACGCAGCGCCTAAAACGAAGCGGCACAAAGTTATCCTACGGCGTTTATGTATATATTCTGACGTTTTGCAAAATAGAGAAAATACCTTATTTTCCCCGCGTTACGTGTTACACGAACACAATACTTGGTGTAAATTTAATAATGACGCTTTTAAGAAGACGCATTTCCCCTAATTAAATTATGAGCTTTCCACGTTATTAAAATTTCACTTCTAAGAAGCTGGAACACAGTTAATGTCCCAAAAATGAACTAAATACGTCAGCAAGATTGAAACAACGAAACTTGATTAAAGCTTTTAATTCGCTCCCCGATTTACCTATTTTGAGCCGGCGTGGAAAAATTTAACTAGACCTTCGCTGGAAATAACATATTTTGGAAAGATGTTGTCGTCAAATAATAGATTGACAAAAATTGTTTTTGATCTTATTTTCTCGCATGTAAAAATTCCGAACACACGTCCTGAATTCAACTGCACATATAAGCGACGAGAATATGAAAATACATAAGGGGTGAAAAACTCGCCCTGAAAAATACGCAGCAAACATTTCGCCCTAGCAAGTGCGGCAATACACGAAAACATTGAACTTTAATGTGTCTGCTAATAGATTAAGCATTTCACAAGCGGCGGAATCGAGATAATTACAGAGCGAAGTGTATCACAACCTTATTGCTGCCGCTCAAACTTGCAACTCATAACGACGCTTAGAATGTGAGAGGACGCACAAAACATCTCCGCACCCAAGCGACGGCAAAAGAACGTCGCTCTGAAGCGCTAAAACGGACACAAAGCGAGACACAAAAAATCCAAATTAGTGTTATCCGTAATTAGTGTCCGGTAATTAAAATCTATGGCCGAAGAAAAACACGAATTTAAAAATTTAAGCGCATTTTCAAAAATTCATTTCTTGTAACGACCCAAAAATTCCATACTAGAGATGTACACAGTTCTAAGTTCAAAAGTTTGAAAATTGTATACCATCCGCCTAATGACTTTTTAATTTTTTTATTTTTTATAAATGCATTTTTGGGTCACTAAGTTTGAATTGTTGTAAATCAAGAGAAAAAACTCTGTTCCAGTGGCCCTTTGACGTTTTGCCACAGAAAATAGCCTCACAGTCTATTCTTAAGGCGATGCGTCCACCAGTGAGTACTCAGAAGCGGTGTTAAATTATAACCTATACTATCTACAAAAGCACTCAGATAAAGGCTGAGATATTAGTTAAAAATAAAAGCATTGCAGCGCTAAAAACAACATATGACAGCCAATCAGAGCCCCTCATTAATTATAAAGCCGACGAAATTTTATCGAATGATTCTTTTTGGTTTGTATGCTTTTTTCAGGTGAGCGTTTTAAGTGGAGAGTTATTTTGATTGGTGCTATTGAAATGAAATTGAAATAAGGTTATTATTCAATTATTTCACGACCAAATATATATCAGGACGACGTTTTTTACGCGGTGAATAAATGACCACTTAAGCTAATTACGTTTAAACTATATATTATAATCCGAAGAAAATTAAATAAAGCAATAAGATAAATCGGAACAACTCTCACATCATTTCGCATGATTAACGTTACAGCGACAGTTAATTTGTACTATCCTTATATTAATCAATCAATAATTTTTGCATATTTTCTCGTTTCTATAGGAATTGCAATGTTGGCATCTTCTGGACAGAATAAATTATATTACTATTACTACAACGATTTTAGTGGTGACTTATTGGAGCGACAAGTATGACATTATTCGCGTGTTTGCTTGTAAGAGGGCTTTCAGACGTAATGATAGACTTTAGTGCTTTATTAAAATGCACATGCGCATCAAAGCATAAATAAAATTGTTTACAGGAAACCAGTCGGCGCGAGAGCAAGTCATGGGTTTACCCATTAGCGTAACCCCTGGTGGAAAAGGCGGTGTTTACCGGGCCTACCTGATGGGTTAAATTAATGGTGTGTTAATAATAATGACGGCGCCGTCGTAGACTAAATAAAACGAACAACGATATGTGCTCGAGAAGGTTATGATAGTTTAAAATTAGTTATTTTTTAAAGGCAGAAGCAGCCTTTATATCAACCAGAAGTGTATACATCCGAATTACTGATATATGGAAGACATAACACACCACACTGTATATAACCATCCGGCTCCGATGGACCATTTTATTACTGTATGGAGTTACAACTCCTCACTAGAATATCAACACAGTCATTAATTAATTAATCAATTCTCGGACCTTTCCCTCATTCAACGTGCGTCGTTGCTATAAATATTTGATTCGAACTGTACAATTCTATAAAAAATAACCACACACCACACACTGTGTGTCGAGTATTTTTCCGCTCGGTTTGATGATGACCGGCACATACATATACACGGTGTCAAACACCGTTAAATGTCATTCGGATCAAACCACTCACCATTTAATTAGGAATATAATTCCAAGCAATTTATTCGTTAAATAATTAGTTACACAAAAGATTACACAATCAATTACAATTAAAAAACTGATTGACGCTTTGATAGCCATTGTTCGGCTATTCCTCCATTACACAAACAAATTAAAACTGCCATTTAACAAAATGGCTGCGACTCATGGAACGAATTTTAGAAATCGCATCGTATGTGGGTATGTTTTGACGTTGTTTTAAACGACAATGAACCCTATAGAGCAACACAAACGTCCTGACCATCACCTGCAGGTATCACGAAAGTAGCAAGTCATTTTAGTATACATTTCTGACAAGAGAGCCACATAATATGGGTATGAGTGCCGACAAAGATGTTTTATTTCTAAATTTGTGCCACTTACTATTCTGTGGAGACGAGAGGATTTTTAGCGTCTGGACAAGGCCGTGAAGACAAACGCTGATATTTATTTTTTGGTTTGTCTATGCTACAGTGATGGGGAGAAGGTCGCCAAATACTAAACCACTAGATTATTTTTGGCTACATTTTCGCACAGTCGTGTAATTTTGCCTTTACCGCGTTTGGTAATTTGACGTGTGGTCAGTCTGATGCAGAATTTTCTCAGGATTACGATTCCATCATTAATTTTCCAATATCTCTTCAAATAAGCGAGAGAAACGCCGATTCGTCTGGCCCCCTTGATTTTTTTAAATTATCAAAATTCGGCCAAATCGATCAAGCGAGATGTCTATTTCATGCAGAATTTTCTCAGGATTACGAATCCGTCATTAATTTTCCAGTATCTCTCCAAATAAGCGCTAATAAGTTAGCACTGGTTTTCGATATATTTTTTTTTTTTCTAAAAAGGAAAAATTTTGTTTGGCTTCTAGGGTAAAAGCGAGCGTTTTAAGAAGAAGATTCGGCCATGGATTCCAAAGGCTGATGAAGTTTTGAAAACAAGAAAATGTTTAACCGTGTCTCCTTCAAATAATTTCATTGTCAAATGATAACATAACCATTGTGTGCATGCGCATAATTACTTTGAGATTTCCGAGGTAGGCAACCCAATTAACGCATTGGAATACAATTTGTATATCTACATTAATAACAAATAATATCGCTTTTATAAAGTATAGTTATTTAAATATTACCTCTCGTTTATTTATTAGAAAGAAACACCGTTATCTACATTGAATTTTAAAAAGTTTCAATTGAAAACTAATAATTTATATTAGGTGCACCAACATATTTGAAAATTCATCATAATTCATTTTCGTATAAAATCACTGTTATCAATTATTATTCTTTTTTACAAAAGTACGATGTTTTTATATCTAATTACTAAGAATAAATGTTGTAACAGTAAATTTGGCAAAAGTATTCTTCTTTGTAATTTTTGAAACAATCGTGTAAAATTACAATTGTAAAATTTTTGTTCGTTGAGTCTCAGCCATTTTGTTAGATTGCAGTTTTAATCGTTTGTGTAATGGAGGAATAAAACAATGGCTATCAAAGTGTCAATCAGTTTTTTAATTGTAATTGGTTGTGTAATCTTTTGTGTACCTAACTATTTAACGAATAAATTGCCGGGAATTATATATTATATTCCTAATTAAAATGATGAGTAGTTTGATCCGAATGACATTTAACGGTGTTTGACACCGTGTATATGTGATGTGCCGGTCATTATCAAACCGAGGGGAAAAATACTCGACACACAGGATGTAGTACGTGGTGTCTTTTTGTAGAATTTATTATGCAGTTTGAATCAAATAACAGCAAGGTTAGAGAGTTGATTAATTAATTAATACTTTATGATTAATTAAGGAGAATTAGGATGAAGCCGAGATACTAGATATAATTTTGGGTGGAAAAAAAGGAATAAAAATTGTTTAGAAAGACAAGGTAAAAAGAGGAAATAAAAAAACATGCAGAAGTGCAATCAAATTGATAAATTAAGAAATCATGACTATCAATCCAAATTTTTATTGTTATCAAAACCCTTATACAATTTAGTTTTTGCGTCTAACAACTGTAAGCATAGTGGACAAATGGAGTAGCTATGTTGATATTCTAACTTATGTCTTAATCCCTGAGAAATAAGAGTAGAAACCTGTTTCCAGTGGAGGAATTGTAACTCCAAAATGGTCCATCGGAGCCGGATCGTTATTTACAGTGTAGTGGGTAATATCTTCCATATATCAGTAATTCGGATGTAGACAAATTTGATTGATAAAAAACTTGCTTCTACCTTCTAAAATTGGACTAACTTTAAATCATCATAACCTTCTCGAGCATTATGTCGTTGTTGGTTTAGTGTACGGTCGGCGGCGCCATCGTTGTTATTAACACACCATTAATTTAACTGATCAGGTAGGCCCGGTGAAGACCGCCTTTTCCAGCAGGGGTTGTGCTAATGGGCAAACCCATAGCAACCATGACTTGCTCTCGCTCCGACTGGTTTCCTGTAAACAATTTTATTTATGCTTTGATGCGCATGTGTATTTTAATAAAGCACTAAAGTATATCATTACGTCTGAAAGCCCTCTTAAAAGCAAACACGCGAATAATACCACACTTATCGCTCTTGAATTACTCGGAAAAAATACGTACGCAAAGGTAGCCGGATAAGTCACAACTAGCAGGTTCTGATCGCGCAGTGTGAATTCTAAATCATTACTAATTCGTTCTTTAAATCAAAATGACCCAGTTATTAAGTGAATAAGGTCGAATTCATCACTTGGTTCCTGTAGTTTTTGTTGTGTGAGGTTGAACTTTTGCCGACGTGACAATGGAACGAAAAAAAAAGTTCTGTTCGTGTCGGCTGGCACCTTACCAAGAAACAGGAAGAGTGAGGTAGTAATTTAATTTAATTAATTAGCAGCACGCACGCGTATTCACACCGACGTTTCGAATTTTAGGTGGTGCGTGGGACACGAGAAGGACTGGCAAACCAAGCTGAAGCGGCTGGTCTTCGTACCGATTATCCTCCTCCCGATCGTTATTTTCGTCATTTTCCTCACAAGGCACACAGGCACTGAAACCGCTGCCGACAACGCCATTTGTAAGATCGCCTCCTGTATTTATACAATATCATATTTCGCGGGTTTCCAGCGATGAACAAATTCGACCAGAACGAACTGCTGGAAGACGAAGACAGAAGAGACGTCTTGAAGGATGCCAAAACGTCGTATGTTCCAGATGTTTTGAATAACAATAGCACCACCAACGGACGAAGAAAGAGGGAAGTCACTCTTCATCAACAGAATGTGAGTACACGTGCCTAGAAAATCATCGCGCTGATTCGTGGTGTTTATCTACTTAAATTGAAAACGATCTGCCTACAGTTCGTTAAAAAGGGGCGTTCTGAGGCGCCAGAAAGTTTTGAAAAAATATATTGTGAGACTTAAAAAACTCATAATAATAATAAAAAAACATAATATAAGAAAACTACAAGAAATCAAATCAAAGTGGGCTGTGGTTTTTGCCGCCTCGTCGAAAGTTAAACTGTAATCAAACTATCAACGTTTACCAGGAAGTGTGACTATTACATATTTCAGTAGTAAATCGATGTTATATCATTTATAGACACTCAGTTCTAAGTATATAATGTATGATAACATAACATTGATAACAAAGTCATAATTGTTAATTAGTAAACAAATTGAGGTAACAATTAACATAAAATAACATGCAACTGATTGTCAAATCATACTGGGCCATGTTTTCGAAAAAAATTAATTCAATGGTAAATTGATTTTACAATCATTTATAGACACTTGCTACTAAAACAACTTAATTCTGTATTAACTGCACATGCGCCGCTTACCGTATGACTTATCTGTCGCCAAATTAATTTTCCTTTTTCGAAATTTTGTATTAACACGCCATCTAAAATTGAAATTTTAGTACACCGATTACGATACAGACAACGAATTTAATATCACTGATTATTTTCAAAATTTTGAGTCAAACACCCTACAGTGGACAGTAAGTCGTTGCGCAAACTTTACTTAATTTACAACTTTGTGATTTTTGAGTTGTCCCTTCCAACCAAGCAGGATGGAAACGGACTGGAACCCACACTGGAAGAAAGTCCAGAGATTCCCGACGAAAGCACCTTATTCTGGAAGAGCAAACTCGACTACTATCAAATCAGAGAGCTTCAAGGTATTTAGTTGCTTGGTGTGATCACAGAATGAAAATTTTCTACTTTAGCCACCACAATGAAAAAATACATGAACATTTCGTCCGACCCTTGTGACGACTTCTACGAATTTGCTTGCGGTAACTGGAATAAGTATCATAGTATTCCAGCGGATAGAACATCGTATGACACTTTTGAGATGCTGAGAGAGAATCTGGATATAGTATTAAAAAATTTATTATCGGAACCAATTGATGACGTAGGTCTATATCAATAAACAAACCATAAATAATAATGATTAATTAAAGGAGGAAGTTCACTACATGAACACCACATTTTTCAACCGTACTATGAAAGCGACCACGAAAGCCAAGTTCTTCTACAAATCTTGCATGAACGAGGGTAAATCTCCACTTATTCAAATTACCGCTTCAATATTTTTATGACGTTTATTTAGAAAGACTGAAGCAAAGGGGTGAAAAGCCGTTAATGAAATTACTTGATGACTTGGGCGGGTGGCCAATTATTCAGCCAGATTGGGACGATACGAGTTTTCAAGTGGAGGAATTGATGGCTAATTTGAAATTATACAACAACGATATTTTGATAATGGAGTGGATAGGGCCTGATATAATTAATTCGAAAAATTACATCATTCAGGTACGGAAGGGGTGAGCTTTGACCCGACGCTCCCTATCTCTATTTGTAGATCGATCAAACCAGTTTGGGTTTACCTGGAAGAAGTTACTTTCTGGACCCTTCGTACTCTAAATATTTGGATGCATATAAAGCGTTTATTCTAGCCGTTTCAACGATTCTGGGGGCCCCACTAACCGAAGCGGTTGAAGATGTTAACGATTTGATCAACTTTGAAACGAAATTGGCAACTGTATAAGTTTCCAAAAATTTGGACTTACTCTATAGTGTCAATTTTAGATCATGGTTCCTAGCGAAAATAGGCGCAACGTTACAGATTTATACCTCAAAACGAACATAGGGGCACTTAGAAACTACTTTCCTCAGTTTGATTGGGTACACTACTTTCGTATAGTCTTGGGACGGGACGTAGATCTAGAAGAACCCATTGCGTGTTACTGTATGGATTATCTATACAAGTTGTTTGACATTTTGAATCAAACGCCACCAAGGTACGTTTTTTCGTTATAAAACAACCACAAACTAATCCATTTCTAGAACAATTGCCAACTACCTGATTTGGAGATTCGTACGCCATAGAACTAATAACCTAGACAACCGATTCTTAGTGGCCAAACAAAGGTAAATTTAATAATTTTGGTTTTTCTCCAAAGTTTGTAGATTTTATTTTGTTTTATTTGGCCGGGAAAAAGCCCCTCCGCGGTGGCAATTTTGTGTCTCTCAAGTTAACACCAATATGGGTATGGCCTTAGGGAGTCTCTTCGTCCGAAAATACTTCGACGAGAATAGTAAAAATGACGTAAGTTTAAACTCTCTCTAAAGTTTGACTCTCCAATCACTTATTTCAGACTTTAGAAATGACGAAACACCTCCAGGAAGCTTTTCGTCTCATTCTTAAAGAAAATAAGTGGCTGGGGGACCACACTAAGAACTACGCCCGCAAGAAAATCGACAAAATGAATTTAAAAATTGGTTATCCGGATTTTTTGCTCGACGAGGATGAGTTGAGTGATCGCTACTACGACGTGGATGCTCACCCTGATTACTTTTTTGAAAATACGCTGAGTATATTGCGGCATTTGACTCGAATCGAGCAAACAAAAATCGGGACTGAGGTTAATAAGACGACGTGGAGGACGGCTCCTGCGGTTGTTAATGCTTACTATAGCAGAAACAAGAACCAAATCAGTAAGTAGATGGTCCGTTTTATCTACTATAACGCTTGAGTTTTTAGTTTTCCCGGCTGGAATTTTACAACCACCCTTCTATCATAAACATTTTCCGAAGTCTTTAAACTTTGGGGGTATCGGGGTAGTAATAGGTCACGAGATTACGCACGGGTTTGACGACAAAGGTCGGCTTTTTGACCAATATGGTAATCTGCAACAATGGTGGAAGGAGGATTCGATTTATAACTTCCACCAGAGGGCAAAGTGTATGATAGATCAGTACAACTCCTATATTATACCGGATGTTGATACATACATGGACGGTTTCATCACCCAGGGAGAAAACATAGCAGATAATGGTGGACTTAAACAAGCATTTAGGGTAAACAAAATATTAACATTAAGTAGCCCGATAGTGATTTGTGCCACTTCACAGGCTTATGAAATGTGGTCGAAATACAACCCAGAAGCCGACGAAACACTTCCTGGAATAAACCTAACCGGGAGACAATTATTTTTTTTAAACTTTGCTCAAGTAATAAGAAACTCAAGTTTTATAACTTTACTAATCCGTATTCCTTAGGTATGGTGTGGTAAACAGAGGATTGACACAGTTAAAAGTAGATTAAAAGTTGCTGTCCACTCTCCGGGAATTTTCAGGTAATTTATTAACACTAGAAATGTAAATTAATTTAAATTGCGCGCGCTTTGTGCCATGGCGCCATCTTCTTGAGACCGACTTGAGACACATTTAGTGCCATCTGTGATTGATTTGTTTCAGAGTGATTGGCACCTTGAGTAATTCCGAGGATTTTGCAAGGATCTACAACTGTCCAATCAATAGTGGGATGAATCCATCCGAAAAGTGTAGCCTATGGTAGAATAATTTTTTTACAAGAAGTAACTAGTCAATATTTTGATATACATTTAATACTTTTGTAAAAAATAACTTCAATAAACTATTTCTAAGACACGTCTATTTTCCTATGCAAAAGTCTTTAAAAATCACATCTAGTAGTTGCTCTGTGGTTGTCACCCCCACCAAGTGGCCTAGGTGCCTTAAGGCTTTTCTCAAATGCTCTGCCATTAAGACGGTGTCACTGGAAGTTGTGAGAAAGGTAGACAAACAGCTAAGACACTGACTTAAGTGTTGTCTGTGCCTCATCTGATTCATGCTAGGATGGTCTTCTGAAGGTTCTCCACACCTAGACAAACGTGTCAAAAGAATCAAAACACCACACGATACTTACAAAATTTTCAGTTTTTGTGTCATACTATCAACGAGATTTGGAACCCCTTCTTCGTTTTTACATGACAAAAAGTTGATATTTTTGTTGTCAAAAGTGACTTCAGTTTGGACTAGATCCAGTTTATTGAATACTATAAGACAATGTTTGGTGAATAATCCCTCAAATTCGTACTTTTCGTTAGAAACCAAATCACTTAAACCAAGTTTGTTTACATATAATTTAAGAAAATCTATAACTGTACATGAAGTGTTACATTGTACCCATTGTAGATACTTTTGACTATCTACAACAAGTATAACCAGATCAGAATTTTTGTAATTTTGTAAAGCCCTATTGATGCCTTCTTTTTCAATAACATCGTGAGTTTCCTCTCTTAAGCCAGCTGTATCAGCAAGAACTAGTGGATAACCACCTATATTTAACGTGACTTCTAAAATATCCCTTGTGGTGCCTTCAATAGGGGTGACAATCGCAGCCGGTCGCTTACACAACAAATTCAACAAACTGCTTTTCCCGACGTTTGGTTCACCCAAAATTACCGTCTTCACCCCAGTCCGCAACAATTCTCCTTTCCTCCCGTCCGCTAAATGACTCTCAATTTCGTCCTTTAACTGCGTTACGTCAGACACAACTTTTTCTAACACCCCTTCATCTATTGTTTCTGTTTCTTCAAAATCAATATGAGCCTCTACATGAGCCACTGATTTCACCAAAACCCCTCTCCATTTATTGTATAACTTGCTCAAAGCACCTTGTGTTTGCAAAAACGCCTAAATTAATGAATGAATGACACACTTGGTCAAATTTTCAAGTCACCTGTTTTCGCTGGAGTTCAGTTTCTGCCGCCAATAAATCCGCTAGACCTTCAACTTCAGTCAGATCTAGTTTCCCTAGAGGCAGTAAAATATATGTAATGACTTAAGACACTTCATTGTCTGGCTTTAATTTACCATTGAAAAAGGCTCTTTTGGTAAATTCCCCAGGCTCAGCTAAGCTACACTCTGAAACAGTGGACAGCGCCTCCAGTACTGAATTAACGACAGCCAGTCCTCCGTGAACATGAAACTCGCAACTGTCCTCTCCAGTGAAGCTGTGAGGGCCTACTTTAAGTTAGTATAAACCTCAATTATGTATATAACCTGGGAACCATAAAATGAGGCCTTTATCTAAGGTTTCTAGGGTTTGGGGGTGTTTGACGCTCCGTAAAATCGCCATTCGGGGTTGAGGTGGATGAGACAGTCCTGTGAGACATGTTAAAGCGTTTTTAGTCGCCGCCCCCGAGACTCTAATCACGGCCACCCCACATTTACCCTGACCTACAAAAAATATATATAACTATGAAAAATCAAGCGACTTTTACCTGAGGATAACGCAAAAATCGTGCTACTGTGTCTGATTTGTGGTTTTATAAGTCGCAAAATTCTTTTGAACATTTTTAATTTCGAAGTTAGGTTAAGTTCCCCCACCCGGCATACCACATGGGGGAGATGGTGATATCAGAGGTGATATCTAGGGACTTTCACGTCGTATTGGTGTGGTTACCATCAAGGACATTCGAGTCATCTGGTTGGTGTCAGAGGCGTTCAAAACACAGTGTTATTTTTTTGAATTTTATTACTAAAAGAAATCAAAATGTGTGCGAAAATGGCATTTCAACACCAAGCTGGAACGGCTATGGAGTGTTTGAGTGTAAGTAATTCGTTTCTTGGGGGTGAGTCAAATGGGCGTTGTGTTTCTGGGAAAATGGTTAAGTGTGACTCATTAGCATAATGCACTAGCAATAATCACTGTTTATCTGTACTTTATCTTTTATCACTCCGTTTAGATACCTATAACGCTACATAAAGAGGTCGACGGGGATACGATGCGCTGCGGCTTTAAAATTGGTGGAGGAATCGACCAAGATTTTCACAAGAGCCCTCAAGGATACACTGATAACGTAAATAAAAAAAATTGAAAAAAGTACGAACTTAATGGTTTTTTGTAGGGGATTTACGTTACAGAAGTACATGACTCAAGCCCCGCCTCTAAAAGTGGTTTAAGAGTGCACGACAAAATTTTGCAGTGTAATGGGTACGATTTCACCATGGTCACCCACAAAAAGGCGGTCAGTTACATTAAGAAACACCCGGTGTTGAATTTACTAGTGGCCAGGAAAGGCGTCACATCAACATAATCACTTAAATTTACACTAAGTTTACTTTTAATTTGTTCCAGTTACCAATAATTCCAATATTTTAAGTGATTTAGACTTAAGTAAGTCTTAATGTAAGATTTATATGTTTGGATATCAAATCTAGTGGATTTCAGTTTATGGCAAAGTGTTGTTACATTAATTATAGGGCTATTTGAAGTTTTTATTTGAAAAGTCTATGTGAAGTGTTAGTGGCTAGTTGCTAAGGATATATTTTCAGTCAGTATTGCAAATGGTAGCACTGCATCAATGTCTACTTGCTTAAATGGATTGCATTCAGCATTTAGTCGCTCAATAATTAAAAAATCTATTTGCAAATTAAGACTTTTTATTTCAATCAGTAATGAAAAACCTCCTTTACACTTTTTGCTCTATTTCTAAAAATTATCAACTGGAGGTAGAGATTTTTTAGTAAGAGTTTGTACTGACACATAATTGTGCTGGAATGGAGATGATAAGGATTTTGATGAATATTTATAGACTGTGCTAAACTCAAACACTAATTTTAAACTTCTTTGTTATCTTAATATACCTGCAAAACTTCATATCATAAAAGAACCTGTTGCATATTCATCTGGCGCCTCCACCATTTTCATCAAAATATTAAACTTGCTTAAATCGATCTAAACATGCACAAATTGGTCACAAGAAGACCTATCTTGTTGAAAATCTTGTCAGGATGACGAATCTGTACTTATTTTTGCTGTGTAGCGCCAAGTACTGGAGAAAATGTGCATCCATCTGGCACCTCCACCATTTTTAGCAAAACTTGAGAGTCGTTTAAATCGTTCCAAATTTCCACAAATCAGCCCTATTTCATCCAACTTAACACCAGTTGCAGCCCCAGCCCTTGTGGTGGCTACGCCACTGAGAACGGTTAAAAAGGACGTTTACAATTTTTGATATGAACGTATGTCTCATGTAAAAGCTTTTATTTTAAGAAAACCTCAATTAAATGACTCACATCAAGGAATAAGTTATTTATTATAGACACAATAGCGTTTCGAATTTAAAACTACTGTCGCTTTATTTAAATCAAATTTAAAAATATATGTTTAGTTATGCAACCAACATTACACACACTTGATTTAGCGATCTAGTTGCCGTGTGGCGTCGCTGCTGCAAAATTTCCTAATGTTTATCAAGTCGCCTTAACCTGACATTTTTGTTTACCGGTTTTCCCAAACTAGTAATAGTATGAGTTAAAACTACCAAAAATCGAAGTATTTCTCTAAGAACTAGTGAAAATGCATCTCGCGATTAAAAACCGCAAAGTGTTCATTCTAATTTCGTTTGGATTTTTCGTCCATACTCTGGTTCTGAAAGCTGCCTTCGATATCTACTTTTCGAGCCCCATCGATCATGGAATGACGCCGATCAAATCTACGAAAAACCCGCCCGCTAAAAGACTGGTATTCATCGTGGCTGACGGTTTAAGGGTTGAAGCAATGCTAGACGAGAACGAGCATGTCGCCCCCAATCTAAAGTAAGTAAGTTTTTCGTTTGCTTAGCTTGAACCGAGCTTGTTGCAGCCGCATCCGCAAAACCCGGGGCTCCTGGGGCGTGTCGCACACCCGAGTACCCACTGAATCACGTCCTGGACATGTTGCGCTTTTGGCTGGAATTTATGAGGACCCGGCTGCTATTTTGAAAGGGTGGAAAGTGAATCCGGTTGATTTTGATTCGGTGATTAACCAGAGCACCAACGCTTGGTGTTGGGGCGGGCCGAGCATCGTGAACATGTTCAACAAAGGTATAAATATTTAAATAATTGGTGACACCTGGTTGAGGATGATTTTGTAGATAATTTGCGCCACATTCATCTGCATTCGTACGACCCCAGCATGGAAGATTTCGGCAATAATAACACAATCGGGCTGGATTTGTGGGTATTCGAACACCTCAAGGCTTTCATTGAAGAAAATAGGCGCTGCGTCAAATGTAAAAAATTTAGACAGAATGGGAACTTCTTCTTTTTGCATTTATTAGGGACTGACACCGCAGGACACGGGTTTAAACCTGGATCTGAGTATGTCGATTTTTTGGCACTTTTTTATACTTATTTTGATTGTGGTTTCAGGGGTTATAAAAACAATATTAAATTTGTTGATGAAAACATTCCAAAGGTTGAAAAGTGGTTTGAAGATGCCTTTCCTGACAAATCCACAGCCTATGTTTTTACTGCTGACCATGGAATGACTGACTGGGGTTCCCATGGAGCAGGTTCCAACCATGAGACTGAAACACCGTTGATTGCATGGGGTGCTGGTATTAAAATTGAGAGGAAAAGAAAAGATGTACACCAGATTGACGTAGCCCCTTTATTGTCAGCACTTATTGGAATCAATTATCCTATTAACTCACTTGTGAGTGAAATTTAATCGTATTTCCGCGTACTTTAATAAAAAACTCGATCACGCAACGGGAAAATTAATACATCCCCGAAAATTAATTCAAAATTCATTTTATTTAATTAAATCTAGAGTTCCTGCATGTCATACAGTGTGAGCATCCGCCATTTTGTTTCAAAAACAATTTGAATTTTTTGACTTTGTTTTTATTGAAGGGGCTTGCTATGAAAAATGTTTCTTTGTTTGTCTAGTATGGAAAATAGTGATTTATATCAATTGACAAAGTTCCTTTGTTGTCGGCACAGTAGGGTCCATTATTCTATTAATTCACTTGTCAGTGAAATTTAATAGTACTTGAGAGGATATCTTTTAACGAGTCAATATAGGTCCCGCCATGGACAAAAAAATTAAGATTGTAAATCACCCAAACGTGACAAAGGGTTATATTTGTTGTACTAAATGTCAAAATATTTACAGGGGCGTTTACCCAGTGAATATATTAATACTACTGGGGAGACTCTAGCGGAAATGATGCTTTCCAACGTTCTACAACTTCTAGAAACTTTCAATATTAAAAGATTCAGAACGATGCGTAATGCAATTAGGTTTGTACCATTTCGCGGCGTGACCACAGAAGATCTGGATGGAGGACTGAATTTTCTGAAAAATTTATCTACTCAAGGACAATATGAGCTCCTAGTAAGAATCGCGATTTGTTTTTTCTAATAAAACCAATGTTGTTTGTAGAAAGTGGAAGTTAAAAGTATAATGAAATTTTTAATAGAAGGTGCTGATTATTATCACAATTATTATCAATTACCGTTGTTGATAGCAATAACTATTGGTTTAGTTGCATGGATTATTTATCTAGCGACTTTCAATATCCATTTTAAACGAAATATTCAGCCTACAAGACATGCTAAGTTGATTAGAAACCTCCAGATTTATCTGTTTGCTCCACTATACGTGAACGTCTGGTTTTTCCTAAAGGGTATATTGTACATTTTGAGCGAATTTTTACTAAGTTTGTTTTTTTAGTGCAATCGCTCCCATTTATGTACTATTGTTATTTTATTTTCCCAATAATGATGGCACAAATTGTTACTAGTCGCTACCATTACGTTTTAGAAGCTTTAAAACAGTTGAAACAATTTGGTCTCAAAAATACCTGCAATCACTTAGTTTTCTACATAGTTGGACTAAGATTTTTGGTAAGTTTCTATATTTTAAAAATTTTTATTACTTGTTTGTGTTTAGGTACAAGGCTTCCTTCACCGTGAGTCTCTAAGTATTGTTGAATTTTTGATGGCAGCTTTCGCGTTTTGGTCGAAAGCGTTGAAGACCCAAACCACGAAATATCAAAAAATTCTTTGGATTGTGTGCTGCATTGGCGTCTCTGTCTTTCCATTTTTACCAGTAATGCAAACTACATTCAACACCCCTGTCTAGTAAGAAACACATTTTTGCTTTTCAAAATTATTAACAATCAATTTTCAGCCTCTTTGGTTATGGTACGTGGTTGGCAATTATGCATAATTTCATTCTACCTCGTTTGGAAAAAGACCCAACTAACAAGTTCATTTCCTACCAGTTTTTAATTTTCAAGCTTACCCCAATTTACACTCTTGCAATAGAATATGACTTAGTAGGACTGGAGTCACCGTTGAAGTACGCCGCGTTCGTTTGGGCCCGTGAGTATCATTGTGAACAATTTCTAGATCGTTGAATTTATTAAGTAACGACAAATTCTAACTTGTTTGTTTTTTTGAAGTTGTGCCAGTCGTTATGGTGCCATTATCCGCAAGCCGAATTTTCACCCGACTCACTAGCATTTTCATCGGCTTTGGCACCTACTACTTGATGGTTTCTTCCAACTACGAGAATCTTTTCCTCATTTGCTACATTTCCCAAATGTACGCATGGCTCAAAATTGAAAGCAAATGTTTTGGGTACGCCACTCTGATCAAGAAAAGTTTCAGCCGTGAAGTGAGGGAAGATCGAGAACAAACAAGTGACGATTTTCGCCGGGCTTTCTTTTTCGTATCCTTTTTGACACACTAAAGCAATGTACTGTAACTATATGTCCTTAACTCCAAACAGGTTACTCTGATTTTCTTGGGTTTCTTTGGAACTGGGAACATCGCAAGCTTGAACTCTTTCGATCCGATGTGGGTGCGCTGCTTCCTCACCGTGTTCAGTCCGTTTAGCATGGCTGGACTTATCTTGCTAAAAATCATAGTACCGTTTTTGTTTGTTAGTTGTGTCTATAGAGCTGTGAATTTGTTCCGTAAAGGGAACACTTTGAGTATGTTTTGTACAGTATTGATGTTTTCGGATTTGATGTTATTGGAACTTTTGTATTGTATTACCAATATTGGCTCGTGGTTAGAGATAGGAATGAGTTTGTCTAATTTTGTAATAATGGAGGCATTCGTAATAATTCTGTTATTGTTGTACGGAATTGGATATCTATTAACCACAGTGACATATTAACACGAATCCATACAGTTTAAAAGTTTAACTAAGATTGTATAGATTTGATAACTTGTATAGTTTCGTTTGAATTGCGTTATTTGACAGTGTGCTCTTGCCACTTCATTCCAGTCTGTTGTTACATGTTAATGAGAGCAGTATTTTTCTAGTGCAATGTTACGATTTTGTTAAAGTTTTGATATGAACGTTTTTAAAGTTTAATAAAGTTTTGATATAAAAGTTAGTTTTATTTCACTAGAGTCAGTATTAACGTATTAAATTTCTCAAATAGTGTTAAGTAATTCACACATAGCCTACATTTGTTTATTTTTTCAGCAAATAGTGTTTTGAATAATTAGGTAACACGAGTTTGTTTGTATAATGTAAGTAAAATTACTATTTCATTCACACCATGTTGTAAATTTAAATTGGCGCGCATTTTCAAATGAGCGCTAAAGCGCCTCCCGCGCATGTGCGGCAAAAAGCGGCATTTGTGATTTGTCTCATTCGTTAAAACCTGCGACGAAGAATTTCAAGTTGTATTTGTGAAAATCGTCGTTTTTGGTAGATATTTTCAGTATTATTGGTCATCAGATTGTTAATTGATTGTTGAAGATTGTTTTTGACCAATTAGTTTTAGTTTTCGTCGTCTTCAACCAACATATAAACGACGTACCCGTGTCTTCAGACCGTTCCCAGGTAAAAACTTTGTTTTAAACGATTTTTCAACATTTTTGAGTTAAAAACGACCACTAAAGCGTTCTTAGTTGTCCACAAGACCCCCATGATCAATATTATTGTGGATTACGCGAAAATTTGTGGGATTCTTTAGTGATTCGTTTATCGTTATTTTGTCACTATGGTGTGTTTAATTTATATTTTCGGTACTGTTTTACGCTAAATGGATGGAATATTCAATATTATCAGTAAAGGGCAAAAAAGCGATTCATTAAAACAAACAATTAAAATCATCAACTACGATTTATAATCTTGGAAACGTAATTCGATCATGGCGATCATTTTCACAGCCGACCATGTTTTAAATTCCTTTGTAATTTATTAAATCGTGAAGACTTCACTTGATTAAGAAATTATTTTTACTTTTAAGTAATATTGACCCCGAAATAGTAATTTTGGTGGTAAATTTATCCAAATTTGTTAACAAACTGTAGGCACTACCACCATTGATGTAAAAATTTTTGCAGAGTGCCCATTTCCAAGAAAATTGAATAAGCCAAATTTCCTTTTATTGGATTTCTTAAGACTGACTTAAGTACACTATTATCTGAAACTATCAAGATATGGAGGACCATAGCGATAACGAAGATATAATCAAGATTGAGTAAGAAAAAATAATGCATGAATTTATAGCACTAAATACGTATTGTATCAACCCCTCTGAAATCTTGACGATTATGATATATTTTAGCACGCCCTCTAGAGTTTATTTTGTGTACTAGAAAGTTTGTTCTGACCCTTTGTTTTGTAGGCTTGGGGAAGTTTACAACGAGGTGGTGATTTTTGCCGAAGAAGGGTACAAATTTTCACGTATTTTCTGGTCTGAAGTGTCAAAAATCCTGTCTTTTTGTAGCACTTCAGATATCGATATGGATATAGACATAGACATCGAGGTCATGTCGAATTCCAGCAGCGATTCTACCACGGAATTGACTGTCGTCTGTTATGTTTCAGACGACGAAGAGTGTATTTTTGGTCTTAGTCCACCGGATGAGTTTTATTGTCATGAAACTCTGCCTGACTCGGACTCAAACGACGAAGAGACTGCCAAAAACACTGGGTATTCTTGTCTTAAATCACTGCACAAATAACTCGCTTTTGTAGCAGTATTCTTAAATTCAATTTTGTAAATCCGGAGGAATATATAATCCCCACTGAATTCTTAAGTAGTGATCCGGATGATGAGGAACCTGGTACTTCTGGGCAGCTACAACTGCATATAACAAGAGCTAGAGAAGCAAGAGAGAACACGAATGACGAAGAGAATGCAGACACTACAAGTGATGCAAATAGTACAAGCAGTACAAGCGAGGAGTCGAGTACGTCAGGTCAGAAAGAGGAGTAATTTGTCCTCATATTTGTCTTACACGTTCTGTTTTTTGTTTGTGTGTTTATTTAATGGTATGTTCATTTACTGAAAAACTATTTTGTTAAGTTTATTTTTTTAGTTCGTTTTGGTATTATATTTTGGTAGAAATTGTTACTAATTACTATTTTTATTTACATTAAAGTCTGAAGCAAATGGGGAATTAAGCAGCATACCTACTTCAAGTTTTTTTTTAAGTAAGTAGTTTCGTTTGGTTTTCTAATGAATTTTAATGTTTTCTCTATTTTAAATTGTTATAGGACTTCATAATTTTAAATGGTGGACAATTCTAAGTGCCTTCATCTGTCTGTCTTTATATATGTAATTGTACGCAACTGTATAAACTTGGGGATGCAACAACAAACTGATCCTGAAGTTAACTATATAAGGTAATGTTTCAAGATTTAGTTTTCCATAATATTATTTAAATTTTTTTTTTTTCAGCTTCCGGTAACTATTATGCCGCTGTTTTTGCGAATAGAATTCCGGCAAAACTGGCTTAGTTTTTGGTTCCTCATTTGCTTTCGTTGCCATGTAAGTGTCGGAGATCGAACATTTTGTCGTCGCAAGTCTATACAAATTAATAGATTTGATATCGATAAATTTGTAATTTTATCACTTTGAGAATATATATTTTGTTAATGTAAGGTCTTCATAGACACTCGTACTATTATAATCCTTTGTTTATGTATTGTGTGATGTTCCAATGTTTTATAAAGAAGTTTAATATAAAAATTGCATGGTTTTATTGTAAATATAAATCCTAACAGACGTTAAGTTTTATACATATCTTAACAAAAATTGATGACGTCACCCTAAAAAGTCACTAAATAAATGTTCATTGGAACAAATACGGTGTTACTATTTACGACTCAAAAGTAAGTCTTGGTCGCAGTTTTACGTTGTTTCAACGATCTGGCGCCTATTTTCAACAACCAGGAGTCATTGGTGCTTCATGCGCATGTGCGGCGTTTTAATTCATTGAGTTGCTTTTTTAACTTGTTGCTTAAGCTAAACCACCTTCATATTTCTTTCTATTTTGTCACAAAATTAATTAATTAATTTTTTTTAGAATTTAAATGCAAAATTCTTATTATTTCTTCACAAAAAACTACCATGTAAGACATTAGTTTGACTATCGTATTGTTTAAAGAATACTATTTATATTAAGAAAAACCCATACCTCCCTTGATCTAAAAAGTAATGAAGTTTTCATTCGTTGGCAGATTTAGAGACGGAGCCTAATTGCAAAATCCATAATTCTTTACAAAAATTTGCCATTTTAAACGTGTTTTAAGTTTCGAAGAAAAAAAAATCATCACAATTTAGATGGGGTGGGTGGGCGGGGTTAATATTTTGTCTTTTTTTTTCTGAATATACATAGTATTCTTTGAACAAACACAATACTCAAAAACATGTTTTTAAAAAATTATTGTCAAGAAATAAGTGTTTTGCAGTTAAGCTACGCCCTCTTGATTCACGGCGAATAAAAAAATCATCACAATTGAGGTAGGGTGGGTGGGCGGGCTGACATTTTGTCTTTTTGTGTTAACATGTGTAGACTTCTTTTCACAAGATGAAACTTAAAACATCTTTAAAATGGAAAATCTGTATGAGGAAATATTGTTACGGGACCGGCTTCTGGACGTGGTGAAACTCCCCCACGACGACGTGCTCCGTCTTGAGAAAGACGTTGAAATATCCGGCTTTAAACTTGAATCGAAACAATACGGCGCCAAAGCAACATCTGAATTAAGCTCAGAACGATACTTGGTACGCCATCTGTTGGGTGGTACGAGACGTACCAAGGGATGCGAGATGAGTGGATGAAGAAGGAAGGGAGAGGGAGTTCGAAGTACTACCTTGAGGGGTGTGGATCGAACAAATAATTGTCTTTGATTTTTGTGCGTTTTTCCGAAATTTTCCCTTGAAAATAGGAACCAAAGACTGTCCGAGACGTTTGTGACGGGTGCGGTGTACGGATAAACGATCTGCTATCCAGTGTGGTGGAATTTGGTGCGACGCCCGCACGGCGACTGTGACTTAAGTGCTGAAAGGACGCTAACGGCAGTAACCCTTTACTCAGATCGGTGGCGTATAGGTAGGCTAGACTATCACATAGGATGTTAGAGGCGGATTATTGTAAGAGGGGTGCATGCATGCGGAAGGGTGTTGGTATAATAATGATAAATTCGTTGTTCGCGCGGTCGGGTGTCGGAAAGTAGTATCAAAGCGGGCTAGGGACGGAAGGGTTAATTTTAAGTGGGTAAATAGCATTGTTTTGGGTTAGCGTAGCTAGGTGGTGGATACCGGGTAATTGGGTAATTGTTAGTTGCGTTAGTTAGAAAGAGATAGCCTGTGACGCTTCACGAAAAGTAAAATGGCGAACGACGCGACGCCGGCGTTTTGCTGTCTTTGTTAGTTCGTTAGCTAGAAAGAGAAACCGAGTGACGCTGCGCACAAGCTCGAATCGCGACCGACGCGATGGTGGCGTTTGTCTATCTTTGTTATTTGTATTATTTAGAAAGAGATAACATGTGACGCTTCACGTAGAACAAAATGGCGACCGACGCGACGGTGACGTTTTGATATTTGCTTCATTATTTAGTGAAGTGTTGTCGTAACACGTAAATTAGAACCTGTGAAAATAATGACTCCTCTGTTCGTAATCTGATTCGCTTGCACTCAACTACGACCCGTGGCGCAGAGCTTTCTCTCCCCCTCTCTCTCATTTTTTCGTTCTCTCTCTTTCTTTGTTTTTTTTTTTGTGTGTAAAGGTAACTAATAATTAATGTATGCGCACGTGACTATTAGTTCCTACAGCTGAATTTCCAATATGTACTCGCCAAAAAGCCAAAACGGCAATAGGGGAAGCACCCCAGGGGAAACCCCCCCACCCATTATTTTTAAATTTGTGTGTTTATCGTCTGCCCTGAACGCGGGTGTTTTTTTATGTGTCTTTTGTAGTTGACTTCTCTTCTTTTCACGTTAGTACAAGGCATGATTGATAGGTCCGGTTCCTTTTTCTTTTCCGTTCCGCGGGTGATCGATGCGTGATGTACCGCCGACTTTAATCCCGTCGTTGATCGGACGGTACACGATACTACTGAGCAGCGACCTGGTTACTGCGGGGCCATCGGACCTTGTAGACGGGGTGGCAGTTGTATTCGGGGACAGCAGCTTCTCGTGGAACGGCCGGTAGTCAATGGTACATCGCGCCACGAAACCGGCGGGCCCGGACAGGCACTTTTGGACGGGGGGGCGCCCCCCCCCGGCCCTAACTCTTTCTCTTTCTCTCTCTAATGTGACGTTTGTATATCCTCGCACGTCAAATAACCCTCCTGTTCTTCCACTGGCGAAGCGCTACGTTTTTTTTTGTTTTTCACGGCGAAAATGCAAAGGGGAGTCATTGTTCCGCATGTTAAAATTATGAGTAAAATTTATTGTTAGAAAAGATGTAATTTAATGGGCCTGTTCGGTGTCTTTCTGGGAGGTTTGGACCCGAACCTTGCTTTTTAACAATTTGTAAACACAATGATATTAAATTTAGTAAACAAGACGAAATGTGTCGCAAAATAATTGTAATTGCAAACTGCAATGTGTTTAACCCGTTTATTGTATAATCATTAAACATTAAAGGCGCCCTCCCGTTAAAAATTTATGTGTCTTTATACCTGTGTTCTTCCCTCACTCGTTGGTTTGCTCACTTCGCTATAGATCTGAACCGCCTGCCGCCATATTAACGTAACACAACGTAGGTCCTAACCTTGCTAGACGTTCACGATCATTGGCCAAATTATTCATTTGAATTTGCGCGGTTTTCTTGTGTTCAGAGTGCGCATGTGCAAAATTTCGGCGGCAGGTTTGGGTTATTACAGAATTGGTGCCGTGACCAGGATTTATAGACGTTGTGAGCAATGTGTGGGGGAACACGGTTGTGTCTGTGAACAATTTACTTGTGGTGGCTTATAGGTAACCTTCGAGATAAGAAATGGACGGCGGCAAGAAACACGTGAGTTCCGGCAGCGGAAGGTGGACCTCGCGTCCACAACGGGCGACGACGGAACCGCGGACGAGAAGTAGAAGGCCAAGACGACCACTAGTGGCGACGAGTCGTTGGGTCTGGCCAGTCCCGGAGGATCGGCAAACCCAACACACTCTCCAGCAACAGCGGGACCTGATTGCGACGCTAACGGAACAACAGCGAGTCCTAACCGCCACCGTGCAGTCCCTGCTGACGGCCAGAGCTGAGGGCCCGGAGGTCGCCGTTCAGAGCGCTACCGATCCACCAACAGTTGGAGTAGTGGAACCACCTGTCGAGGAGGGAGCCGGTGAGAGTACACGGCCTGTTTGTGCTACGCGGACTGCCTCTTGTGTTTCAGGTGTTCCCCTCAGAAGCACCCCGGCGGTCGCTCGGCCCCAGTTCACCGGGGGTGAATTAGAGAACCCAGTGCGGTTTCTAAAAAAATTTGAGAACTACTACGGTAGGATCCACGCTTCGGAAGGTGACAAGTTAAACGAAGTGATCGATTGTCTCACACGGTGGCCGGAGGAATGGGCGGCGTTTGAGCGAGGTGCATGGACCACTTTCGAGGACTTCCGGAAGGGGTTCCTCGCAAAATTCTGGGGCAGGGATCGCCAGCTTCAAGTGCGGGCGCAGATCATGAGTCGACGATACGATCCGACGAAGGGGAATTCCATGTCGGAATACTTCGTGAGGCTCGTCAACCAACTTCGCACCTTGACGATCCCCCTACCGGAAGACCTACTGGTGTCCGACCTGATGCTGCTGTTTCCCCAAGAGGTCCACGGGAAGTGGCAGGCACAATTTCAGGGAGAACGAACGATTGAAGGGGCCCTGAAATTCTTGGAAGGCGAATCGCTAATTCATCCCCCTAGACGTTCCAGGTCCGAGGTTCTGCGACGCCCCACGAGTGCTGCACTGCAAGTGCATTCCAGCGTGAGCCCTGCGAGTCAAGACACTGAGCCGTTCCACCCGTTTTCTATCCCACCTCCAATTCCGAGGTCGGGAAACTAGAGAAGGACGTGAAGCTGGAGGCCCCATGTCCGAATCTGTCATCCAAGACCTCCAATTTTCCCTTCATCAGGTTTGTCCCAGCCGGCTGTTCGAATGCTGAACCAGGCAAAGGCAGTGCCGACTTCGTTGCTGGCCCCGTTGCGTATGCCTTGCGTAAGATAGGGCCATTGCCCGCGTTGCCACGTATAAATTATTCGCCGATGTATCCTAAGGGTCTTTCTTTGTTGCAGCGCCACGGATGGAGACATAACCAGCCGTTGGGTGCGCGTGCCACAGGCCTCCAGACGCCACTGGGTGTTGTAGTGGCGCCCTCAGCGCCGTGTTTGATCCGCGAGAATCTCTGCCCCCTCGATTCCTTCCAGGTAGCCACGTTGAGAAAGTCGGCTACGGACGCGCCCGCGAATTCAAGCAGACTGTCCGTCCTTCCGCACGTTGTTATTTCCATTTTTCAGGAAGACTTTTTAGCTCTAGTAGATTCCGGCAGCGAGGTGACTTGTATCAATGAGGAGCAGTTTTTGTCTTTGTCTTCTAGGTTCCACATTCCGTCACTTCCGGTGGCATCAACGCACATCCGAGGTGCGACGGGACAACAAAGCCCACGTATTAAATTTCAGGTCTGGCTGGAATTTTCTGTAGGAGGCCAGACGTCGGCGAACGTTTTTCTTGTTGTAAAGAACTTGATTCGTCCTGTCATTCTAGGTGTTGACTGGTTGTCCGAAGTAGACGCCTGGTTGTATTTCCCAGAGAAGGTGTTGTCCATCCGTGTGAGAGAAGGACGTCATGAGGTTCCCTTCCAGGTCGATTCGTTAGTATCGGAAGCAGAGTCGGTGAATAGTATGGCGTATCCGGTCAAGTTAGGAGCAGCCCCGCAGTTAGCACGAACCGTGGTGTCTTTGGACACGCTAAAGGAGAAGGTCGACAAAATTCCGGCGTTGTCTACGTCTCAAAAGGATCAGCTGTTAGTGTTGTTGGAGAGGCGTCGGGTCGTTTTCAACGAATTACCGGGACGCACCGACAAGTACGTGCACACCATCAAAATGCACGACACTACGCCGTTCCTACGGAAAGCCTACCCGATCCCATTCAGTCTCCGCCCAGAGGTGGAAACGGTCATCAAACAAATGATGGACCTAGGAGTGGTCAAGAGAGAAGCGTCACCCTTTGCCAGCCCAATGACAGCAGTCAGGAAGAAAGACGGTTCGGTCCGAGTTTGCCTGGACGCGCGGTGGATTAACAAACAAATGGTGGCAGATTGTGAAGCACCGAGGCCGCCGGAAGAATTGTTGCAGTCCCTCCAATCCGTCCGATTCCTGTCGACCATTGATTTGAGGTCGTCGTATTGGCAAATCCCGTTGAGCCCAGAGAGCACCCAATATACCGCTTTCTTGTTCAATGGCCAGTCTTACACCTACCAAGTGCTTCCATTTGGTTTGAAGACAGCTGTGGGTTCCTTCAGCCGGGCCATGGATGTCATCTTGGGACCGGAAGTGCGAGAGTTTGCAGTTAACTACATCGACGACCTTCTTATCGTTTCCAACACCTTCGAACAACACCTCGAACACCTCGATAAGGTGTTAACTAGACTTCAAGAGGCGAAGATGACCGTGAACTTGGAGAAATCTACGCTCCTCCAACCCGAGGTTAAGTTCCTGGGGCATCTTCTGTCGGCCGAGGGTGTAACGACTGATCCAGATAAGGTCCGAGCGATCCAAGAATTTCCTGTTCCGAAAAGCCGAAAACACCTTCGAGCATTTTTGGGGCTCTGTGGGTACTATCGTCGTTTTTGTAATAAATACAGCCACAGCATCTTACCGCTCACACGGTTGCTGAGGAAAGAAAGCCGTTGGAAATGGACCGGCGAAGAACAAGAATCCTTTGCGAAGACGAAGGAGCTGTTCCTGGAAGCTGTTATTCTGAAATTCCCGGACTTCAACCAGGTCTTCTACCTCCAGACTGATGGTTCAGGAATGGCGCTCGGAGCGGAGCTGTATCAGGTAGTTGAGGGAGGCGATCGTGGCGTGCTAGGGTTTGCCAGTCGGGTTTTGAGAGGTCCTGAGTTACTGTATACAGTGACAGAAAAGGAGCTTCTGGCCATCATCTTCGGTCTTCAGAAGTTCCGGACCATCCTCCTGGGCCACAAGCTCATCATTCGAACAGATCATTACGCCCTCAAATTTCTCAAACAGTGCCGGCTGTTGAATGATCGCTTAACGCGATGGTCGCTCCTACTGAATGAGTTCGATTATGAAGTGGAGCACATCAAGGGCACGGAAAACGTTGTGGCGGACATTCTTTCCAGGTACCCCCCGGACTCAGGGTCGATTCCGCTTCGGACCCAGAACTCTCCCCTTGTGGCTTCAGTGGACCTTTCTGAGTTTGACTCCGTTGTTGCCACCTTCACGGCATCAGGGTTAAACGAATTGAAGGATCAGTTCCGAAATTTGCGCCAGCTGCAACAGGAAGATATTTTTCTAGGCCCGCGGTTTCTAGCCCGAAGGCGAGGTAATCGAACCTGGGGCACTTGCCGCCACTACCCGAATTTGCGTATCTATCACAACATCTTGATCTTTTTCCATCCTGTTGAGAAGGTAGCAAAAATCGCATTACCCGAGCCCTTGATAGACGAGGTAGTTTTAAATTTCCACGAGCAGTTTGGACACTTTGGCATTTCGAAGGTTTTCTCATTGGTGAGGCGATACTTCTTCTTCCCCCGAATGCGCGCGCGCATAGAGCGAGTCGTCAAAGCGTGTGATCTGTGCCAGAAGGCAAAACACCCCAATCGCCACCTGGCTGGCGAGATGCATCCCATTTTGGCTGAAAATCCCGGTGATTTAGTAACTGTCGATTTTTATGGTCCTCTGCCCCAGAGTCGCTCTCGGGTGTCATATATCTTTGTGGTGGTGGACACGTTCTCAAAATTTGTCAAACTGTACCCCCTTCGACGAGCCCAAGCGAAAATTGCAGCTCGAAAAATCGTTGAAGATTTTCATCGACAAGTGCCAATCAAAGTTGTCCTTAGCGATCATGGCACACAGTTTCAGTCTCGTCATTGGCAGGAGACCCTCCGTCAATGGGGAATCCGACCCACTTTTTCATCTGTCCGACACCCCCAATCGAATCCCGCTGAGCGTGTAATGAAAGAATTGGGCCGACTTTTTCGCACATATTGCCACGACTCCCACGCCAATTGGGGTACCGTGTTACCTAACATCGAGCTCCTGTTCAATGTGACCCCCCACATCAGCACGGGATACTCGCCGTATGAAATTTTGCGAGGGAAGAATCCACCGAACCCACTTTCTAACCTCATTGAGCCATTGCTTCCGGCTAAGCCAACGAAACATCTGGAGGAAATCCGAGCTGATGTCAGACTGAGGTTACAACTGGCAGCAGAACAAAGGAAACGGCACAGCAGAAAACGCCATGACGTCCTTCAGGTGAACGACTATGTCCTTCTGAGGGAGAACCCAACTTCTGATGCAGCCAACAAGATTTTCGCCAAGTTTGCACTGTTGTACTCTGGCCCGTACCGCATTTCGGACCAGCCTCACCCGAATGTCTACACATTGCAGGACCCCAACACACAGGAGAGGAAGGGCAACTACAACATTGGTAATCTGAAATTGTACCACCTTCGATCTTGATATTGCCGTGTATTTTTTTTTTTTTTCATGCTCATCGCGCTGTCTGCAAAACAATCGGCGCCGAGTACGTCACGACAAGAAAAAAAGGAAGGGCCTGCCACCGCACCAGGTGCACCTGGTTCACAACTAGAGTACGACCACACTTGGAGTGTCTCCGTGCGCTGCGCCCGTCTTCGCTCCGGAAACACTGGGGGGCGACTGAAATATCCGGCTTTAAACTTGAATCGAAACAATACGGCGCCAAAGCAACATCTGAATTAAGCTCAGAACGATACTTGGTACGCCATCTGTTGGGTGGTACGAGACGTACCAAGGGATGCGAGATGAGTGGATGAAGAAGGAAGGGAGAGGGAGTTCGAAGTACTACCTTGAGGGGTGTGGATCGAACAAATAATTGTCTTTGATTTTTGTGCGTTTTTCCGAAATTTTCCCTTGAAAATAGGAACCAAAGACTGTCCGAGACGTTTGTGACGGGTGCGGTGTACGGATAAACGATCTGCTATCCAGTGTGGTGGAATTTGGTGCGACGCCCGCACGGCGACTGTGACTTAAGTGCTGAAAGGACGCTAACGGCAGTAACCCTTTACTCAGATCGGTGGCGTATAGGTAGGCTAGACTATCACATAGGATGTTAGAGGCGGATTATTGTAAGAGGGGTGCATGCATGCGGAAGGGTGTTGGTATAATAATGATAAATTCGTTGTTCGCGCGGTCGGGTGTCGGAAAGTAGTATCAAAGCGGGCTAGGGACGGAAGGGTTAATTTTAAGTGGGTAAATAGCATTGTTTTGGGTTAGCGTAGCTAGGTGGTGGATACCGGGTAATTGGGTAATTGTTAGTTGCGTTAGTTAGAAAGAGATAGCCTGTGACGCTTCACGAAAAGTAAAATGGCGAACGACGCGACGCCGGCGTTTTGCTGTCTTTGTTAGTTCGTTAGCTAGAAAGAGAAACCGAGTGACGCTGCGCACAAGCTCGAATCGCGACCGACGCGATGGTGGCGTTTGTCTATCTTTGTTATTTGTATTATTTAGAAAGAGATAACATGTGACGCTTCACGTAGAACAAAATGGCGACCGACGCGACGGTGACGTTTTGATATTTGCTTCATTATTTAGTGAAGTGTTGTCGTAACACGTAAATTAGAACCTGTGAAAATAATGACTCCTCTGTTCGTAATCTGATTCGCTTGCACTCAACTACGACCCGTGGCGCAGAGCTTTCTCTCCCCCTCTCTCTCATTTTTTCGTTCTCTCTCTTTCTTTGTTTTTTTTTTTGTGTGTAAAGGTAACTAATAATTAATGTATGCGCACGTGACTATTAGTTCCTACAGCTGAATTTCCAATATGTACTCGCCAAAAAGCCAAAACGGCAATAGGGGAAGCACCCCAGGGGAAACCCCCCCACCCATTATTTTTAAATTTGTGTGTTTATCGTCTGCCCTGAACGCGGGTGTTTTTTTATGTGTCTTTTGTAGTTGACTTCTCTTCTTTTCACGTTAGTACAAGGCATGATTGATAGGTCCGGTTCCTTTTTCTTTTCCGTTCCGCGGGTGATCGATGCGTGATGTACCGCCGACTTTAATCCCGTCGTTGATCGGACGGTACACGATACTACTGAGCAGCGACCTGGTTACTGCGGGGCCATCGGACCTTGTAGACGGGGTGGCAGTTGTATTCGGGGACAGCAGCTTCTCGTGGAACGGCCGGTAGTCAATGGTACATCGCGCCACGAAACCGGCGGGCCCGGACAGGCACTTTTGGACGGGGGGGCGCCCCCCCCCGGCCCTAACTCTTTCTCTTTCTCTCTCTAATGTGACGTTTGTATATCCTCGCACGTCAAATAACCCTCCTGTTCTTCCACTGGCGAAGCGCTACGTTTTTTTTTGTTTTTCACGGCGAAAATGCAAAGGGGAGTCATTGTTCCGCATGTTAAAATTATGAGTAAAATTTATTGTTAGAAAAGATGTAATTTAATGGGCCTGTTCGGTGTCTTTCTGGGAGGTTTGGACCCGAACCTTGCTTTTTAACAATTTGTAAACACAATGATATTAAATTTAGTAAACAAGACGAAATGTGTCGCAAAATAATTGTAATTGCAAACTGCAATGTGTTTAACCCGTTTATTGTATAATCATTAAACATTAAAGGCGCCCTCCCGTTAAAAATTTATGTGTCTTTATACCTGTGTTCTTCCCTCACTCGTTGGTTTGCTCACTTCGCTATAGATCTGAACCGCCTGCCGCCATATTAACGTAACACAACGTAGGTCCTAACCTTGCTAGACGTTCACGATCATTGGCCAAATTATTCATTTGAATTTGCGCGGTTTTCTTGTGTTCAGAGTGCGCATGTGCAAAATTTCGGCGGCAGGTTTGGGTTATTACAACGTGCGCTCGAAGGTTGCGAAATTTAGGAGCGGGAAAAGGTGGTGAAATAAAATGCAGATCTAGCGTAACGAGTCACGGGGGCCCCTGGAGTCGATTCTGGGGTCGCCGGCCGGCCGCACCAGCGCCGGAGAGTTCTTCCTCCAGGTCCCCGTGGTGGTTGGATGGCTTCTTCTTCCTCTAGTCCTCGCTGTCGACTGCCACGAGTCTCCCGAACCGCGCTACTTTTATAGACTCGCATCGGCTCCGCCCACTAGTTCGGCACGAATCCAGGATTCTCATTGGCTGCAGTGCTTTCGTAGTTTTGATCCGGTAACAATATCGATATTGCAATTAGGCTCCGCCCCATAATTGCAAAATCCATATTTTTTGTTGTAAAAAGGTGGCAATGCATATTAAGAAAAAAAAAAGCAAAATATAGATATAGAAGATGCTAAGATAAGACTTATTTAGGCTAATGAGATACCCTCTAAGAAAAGAGAGGGTGGGTGGGCGGTGCTAGTAGATGCTAAGATAAGACTGATTTAGGCTAATGAGATACCCTCTAAGAAAAGAGAGTGTGGGTGGGCGGGGCTAGTAACTGCTAAGATAAAGCTGATTTTGGCAAATGAGATACCCTCTAAGCAAAAAGAAATAATTTACAAAAAGTCTCAATGGGTTCCTAAAATAATACACCATGGGTACCTAGGAGTCTCCCGAATTAAAAAAGAAAACACTGCTGTACTCAAGACTTTCATATTCATAAAAAATAAAACACTAAAATTTCAAAAGATTACGCAATCAAGCGAAAAAAAGATGAATTTTTTGTTCGTAATCGGACCAAAGGACAAAGCTTATTTTCCAAATCCACATTTCTCTACAAAAATTGTCGATTATACTATTTTAAACATGATTTCAGTTTCCTGTTGGGGAAAGAAGACTGCTTATATTTAAAAAAGAAGCAAAATATAAGACTAGCCCACCCACCCTGATCTCAATTCTGATGAATTTTTTATTCGTAGTCAGATCAAGAGGCGGAGCATAATTGCAAAATCCATATTTGCCTACAAAAATTTACCATTTTGAACAAGTTTTAAGTTTTTTGTTGTGAAAAGGACACTACATACATATATTAAGAAAAACACGGCAAAATGCAATAAAATTTCATTTTTGAAAAGGCCGTCTAGAAATTCTCAAAAAATTCAAAGTTATAGATCTTGACGGACTGATTCCAAAAATCTAGCGTGTTTAGGGTCACAGAGCAATATTTTCGAACAATTCGGTATAAAATTCGGATTTTTTTATATTTTTAAAAATTGCGATCACTTTTTTTCAAATTTTGATCATTTTTTGTAAAAGTTTATCATCATTAAGTACTTGCTAAAATAAAACTGATTTCGGCAATGACACACCCTCCGAAAAGAGAGGGTAGGTGGGCGGTTCTAGTATCTGTTAAGAAAAAATTGATTTTGGCAAATAGCATACCTTCTAAGAATAGAGAAGGTGGGTTGGCGGGGCTAGTACCTGCTAAGATAAAGCTGATTTTAGCAAATGAATTACCCTCTAAGATAAAACTGATTTTGGCAAATGGCATACCTTCTAAGAATAGAGAGGGAGGGTAGGCGGGGCTAGTACCTGCTAAGATAAGGCTGATTTTGACAAATGACTTATCCTTTAAGCAAAGAGAGGGTGGGTGGGCGTCGAAAATGTGTCGAAATTTGCATAATACATAGAGGAAAATTTTATTTTTGAAATTGTCATCTGAAATTTTTCAAAAAATTCAGGGTCATAGATCTTGACGTGCTCGTTCCAAAAATGTAGCGTCTTTAGGATCACGGAGCAATATTTTCGAAATATTCGATGTGAAATTCAAATTTTTTGAAATATTTAAAAATTGCGATATTCAATGGGCGATTCTAGAATGACGTGTTTTGTAAAATCAGGTTTTTTGATTTTGGCGCGCATTTTCAAATAATTAAAGGGACCAACGCCCAGTACGCATGTCAGCCATGAAGCGGCATTTGTTGATGTTAATTCATTGGACGGTGTCCGTTTGTGCAGTCCATGATAAAACAGTAAAAATTAAAGTCTTAAATCAGTGCCTTTTAAACAAAATTAGTGTTAAAGTTGTTCTCCAAGTGTTAAAAGTAGTTTTAACGTGTTAGTGATAGTTTTCCCTGTGCCTAGACGATGTAAAATACGGTTAACCCAGACCCCTACCTGTTGACAACAACACCGGTAATAATTCCATTTTAAACAAATTTCTGGCTATTTTCCAACCAAAAACAACCACCACCGGGTAGTTTGACACTTTTACAGACCCCATGTAAAATATTTCCGAATTACATAACGGCTGATGTTGATTTTGTGACGGATTCGTGGGAGGTGCACTTTCCCGGTCTTTTTGTGTTTAGATTGCTTTTTCTGGTGTAAAATAAATGAACGAGTGCGGTTTTTTGGTCTAATTATCAAAAACAAGGTACGAAATTGTGTGTTCTTTGAAAAATCGGCAAAAATAGCACGATCTGTGGAAATCACAGAGCGTAAAATTACATTTGCCGCGTATAACCTCACCATTGGTCACGAACAGTTTCAAAGCCAACTTTGGCCAAAATCGGTACAAATTTGTGACAGAAAAGTCGAAAATAGACGTTGTTGAATCAGTAATTTTCATTCTGAGGCGATTTTTAGTCAGAATTTCGACATTTCCGTAAATAAAGTGCCACTTTTGGCGCCTAAAGTTCAGGTGTTGTCAATGACCGCCACGAAGGCAAAACTAGCTCAAAAGTGACTTTTTGGTAGTAAAATTAGCTAAAATTTGTTAATACAGTAGGGTTGTGTTTATAAAGGAGTGTTTTTTGATAGGGTGACCCATTATGGTGAATAAAGCTCTCATCGAACAAGCCGAAGACAAGTAAGACAAAATTTCTGTTTTAAGCTTGCGGGGGGCTCAAGTGGCTTTTTCTTAGATCTGCGAACATGGAAGAATCTGGCGAGAGCGAAGGCCGTAATAACAGGTAAGGAAAAAATTGTGGCTTTACAATTATGTGGTCATTTATCTTATCACCAGTGGTATTAGTTTCAAATTATGATACTCTTTGTGTTCTAAAATAAGAATAATATTATTTAGTAAATTGTGAAAGACTGAGACAAATTGGGTCACTGGTGTCGTGTTTGTTATCAGTGGCCCTTTAAATTTTAAATAGCCATGTAATAGAGTTTGTTTGCAGCTGTGCTGAGCAGAGTGGGGATGAGAACCACAGTCAGCAGCTTAAGTAAGTTTGAGTTAATTTTTGTGATTTTTGGCTAACATACGAGAATTTTAGCCCTCCAGAACCACAAAATGAGGATGGTGAAGAGGTTCCAAGTAACAATAACGAAAACGAGACTGAGGGGTATTTAATCACTTCAGTATATTTTAATTTAGTTCATGATTACGTGTTTGTAGCGTCCAAGAAGCGATTTCTGTACAGAGCAACCCATTTCCAGAGTTGGAGTCAGTTGAAAGTGGGTGTAAACCTCTTGCAGACACCCTTTCCATCGGTAGTTCTAAATCTGGTCAGGACATCCTAGAGGAGACTCATTGCATTGAAACTCTGCCGTCTTCAGACTCCAATAAAGAAAATATTGATAGGTATTTCTATTTTTAAGTTAGTTTAAATTGACCTAAATCAATCACCGAAGTAAAGTAAACATTTACGTATTATCCGCCCCTGTTCACCGTTTGTCGACTGAAACTTATCGAAATTGTAGCAACGTTCTCCATGCGAGTTACATAGAATTCGAACCTCCCGTCACCTACAGCGACTACGACAACACCGACGACATCCCCCTACTCCAATTATTAAAAATCCACGGAAAACACTTGGTCTCGGGGTTCGAATTTGGGGAAGCCACGAAACGTCGAGCCCAAGAGAACATGAAAACCGCACGCGACAAAAAGAAGGGTGAGAGCAGAAGAAGTGAAGAACTCACTCTGACTGACATTCTGCAGGAAGAACCCACTGAAATGGTAATCGCGCAAATTTTAGCGACCTTGACTTAATTATTGTTTGCAGAGTAAAGCCTGCTGCTCTAAAACCTTGTCAGAAACCGAGCACAAAACCCCTCATTCGCGCAAACGCCAAAGACTCGCAGAATCCAGGGTCAATGTCGCGACTTCTGAGGACTTTTCAAAAGCGACACGTCGGGTTCCTGAATGTCTTCTCAAATATCCAGAGTGCAAAGAAGTTTGGATGTATATGATTTTTAAAGAGGAGGCTGCCCACAAGCTGCGCAATCCGCGTCTTTTTAACGATTTTAAGAGTGTGACGCCTAGAATGAGGGCGATTCTTCTTGACTGGTTAATGGAAGTGGCGGCCGTTTACCACTTAAGAAGAGTAACTTATTATTTGAGTGTTGATTATTTTGATCGTTTTTTGTCAATACGACCTGATATACCAAAAAGTTTGTTACAATTAGTGGGGATTACTTGCTTGTATATAGCTGCTAAAGTTGAGGAGATTTACCCCCCGAATTTGTCTGAGTTTTCTTATGTGTGCGACGGCGCATGTAAAGCTAAGGAGATGGTGTCCTGTGAACTTTTGATTTTAAATGTAAGTCAATGTGACTTAAGTGTGACGAATGTAGATGACGTTTTTGCTTGCAGAGTTTAGGCTGGGAGGTCGTTCTTACAACACCAACTGATTGGCTGAACTTATATATGCAGTTACATTTCAAAACTAATGACATAGTCCGTTTCGGTCTGAGTTTGGATTTCAACAGGGACTTTATTTTTCCCCAATATTCAGCCTTCCAGTTCACACGGGCATCCCAACTGATGGATTTGCTGTCTCTAGATCCAGGTTTCTTGAAGTTCAGTTACAGCGTCATCGCTGCAGCTGCGATGTTCTACATGTATGGAGAAAATATAGCCCTTAATGTCTCAGGTACCATATAGTTTTTTATCACTTAACAAAAAATTATACATCCCTTCGCAGGTTTGTCCTGGGAACAGTTAAAACCCTGTGTTAACTACATGGAAGTTTTTAATAAAATAATCGAAGATGCCCCAGATCCTCGCCTGCTGTCTTGTTTAGGGGGTCCTCACCCAGAAGAGGCGAACCGTTCGTCCGGTTCGTCAAGGTTGGCACAAAGTAGCCCACAGAACGAAAATTACTCATTCCAGACACACGTAGCCAGCATGGAGTACTTTGTAAGTTAATAATAAATAGTAAATTAAATGCGTTGTCCCCGCAACATTCAAACAAAACTAATCACTCATTAAACGCTTTCTCTTTTTTTAAACATCTCTGAACTTTCCAAATATTTAAAAACTTGTAGTTAAGTCATTGTTTTGGTTAATTTTAAGCAATGTTTGTTTATTGTGTGGTTGCGGGGATAACGTACGAGTTCGTGTCGGTGATTCTAAATAACGAAATATTCAGGAAAAAGCTACTATTTATCGCCTGTCGTGTCACACGCGTTCATCGGAAGGGTCAAGTCAGCCGACGACCCCCGAAGTCGCCCGAAGTGACAACGAAGCTGAAGACAACGGCGTTAACGAAGGACAGGAAGATGATATTAGCCCTAGTTTAGAGTTAAATTCGTTAGAAGAACTCACCAGAGGCGAGGAGATCCCGGAATTGAGCGGTGACGAGAATTTGATGAGTTTAGACGAAATTTTCGAACTGATTTTGAGTCAAGATGATACGAAAAGTACAAATGAAGATTGTTAATTCCGGTTGTGAAGTCGTTTGTAGAGGTTTAAATATTATGATTAAAAAAATTAAGTTGGTTGGGAATTAAGTCTCAGGTTTCTGTACAGTTACGGCGGTTTGGCCTCTAAAGTTGTATTTAGTGTTTTTAGTGTTCGTCACCTTTTGTAATTAATTATTCTGTGATCAATAGTGTTAATATTGAGATGACTATGGTTTTAAAGTTCTTATAGTTATGACGTGTTTAGTAATAGGTAAAAGCAATAGTAAATGGATTAATTATACATATTTTTGAGATCTCACGTTGTAAATTGTTTTAAAATGTTTGTAACACTTGTGTTTTTAGTTTTAAAGCGGACCAAAAAGAGAAGACTGTAGCTCTTAACGATATTTTTGTAATATTTTTAACTTAATAAAAATTTTTGGTATTTCATATTTTTGTTTTCTTTGCGATGTGATAAATTACTTCAATCTCAGAAGATGACAACGTAGCCGGTGAAACATGTTGACAACTTGCAGAAGGTAACTTATAGGAGTGTTGCAGCGGTTCCGTGGCTTCTCTACCTATGGTTTATGAACCTGCCTTGATTTACAATAGTCACAAATTGTGCGATTTTACGTTCAAATCATATATCTTCTTTAGTCACGTTGAGCTGCAGATACTGTAATAGGAATTTCGCCGCTTGAGGAGTTTGCACGAATTTCTTGCCAAATCAAGCGATCAGCCTGATTTGACGCAAGAATGATTCTTTCCCGATTTACCTAAACCGACTGTGCAAATCCTTGGGTGAATACTGGTCGAAGATGGTACGTCATGGTCGCTTTCTTCCAGTTTTAGTGCGAATGGAAAAAACCCTGAAAGTAGTTGACCAATAATTGATGCAAGCTTTTCATAAATCTTCATGACGCAAGTGAAAAATCAAAACAATAATACTGACCCTGGCTTACAATTACTACAATTGAAACACACATAATATCAGGCTAAAGTAGATTTGTTTATAGCTGGGACGTGATTAAATGAACTAAACGTTAAAATGAGTATCGTTACAATTATATAATTGTATCAGGAATGAACAAACCGTGGCGTAAAAGCGAAAGTATTAAACAAAGCACCGAAGGTCGACCAGGTACTGCCGACTCGTTCAGACCGCTGAGACTAGTCTTGTGGGAGAGGTATTTTGTTGTGCACTCTCGTTCGGAAAAATTCCAAAACATGTTCTTTGTTCTCAAAATACTACATCCACGTTCAACGACCAACGATGAGTAGAGTGCTGGACTCTGCCGCCGACCACAGGTAGGCAAATTGCAGAATTTCGCGAAAACGGATTAGTGATCGATCGTCAACGGTACCATAGATCGCTTCATTAAGAACAATGATCAGTGATGTCACAATAATGAGAAAAGTGTGTCAACGATGGCTTAAGTAAGCATCACTTAACAATCAATTACAGTAAGTAAAGGTAAATGGAGTTGGAAGTACCTCCGCGAGGCTTAACCAAGGTACCAGTGAATCCACATTTTACGATAATACTGCAACTGCATTCCGTTATACAACACAACGTACAAAATAAGATGCACTTTCATTGCAATAAGTAGATCATGTAAGTGCAGCGGTACGACTTAAGCCACTTTACTACTGTAAGTAAGGATATAATAAGACTCTAAACTAATGTTTTTTTCAGATGTTATGGTTCCAAAAGCAATGTACGATGACTCGTTTGAAAGATGCCTCTGGACCTTCATGGTGTACTTTGTGTTCATGATCGTTAGTCCTATTATCGTATTCGTAGCGATTTTCGTCCCAACTATACCCTTATCAATAGTCAGAAGAATATGCCACATCGAGTTTGAGTCTGTTTAAGTGTAATTTTTGTATATAGAGTATTAATTAATAAATGTGATACTACTTTTAAACTGACATTCTATTCTGTATTGTTGTGACGTAATTTGGCATTGAACTGGGTTATTACTATTAATAGTATGAAAAGCGAGAAAACTGCGTATAGCGAAAAATAAACACTAGTGCCACCTAGTTGGTAACGTCGTGTAACTTCAACAGCATTCGCTTTAATTCGTTTCATAGTTTGACTACTCGCTCACAGGTGTCGTCGTTTGTTCCACAACATTAATGGCGCCATTTTTGTTTTCGTCTATCATTAAACGACATTTATTCACGTTTCCTGTTAAAAAATATCGTAACATGGAGTGTTACCAAGTGGAAAACTTTCTTAAACCGAGTCGTCGTCCTTTCCTGGATTTTGTGAGTATTATTGTACGAAGTGTTTAGCATATTGTGAGTGGACTGAAAGGATCCGGTAAAAAAGGACGCCATACAAAATGGAGCTTTAGGGTGAAACTCCTCCCAGACAATTACTACTTCCCGCCTATGCCGAAGGATTCGTTAGGATCCAATGAGAAGAGGTCGCTACATTTTGAGGTTGGGCTTGAAAAGGCCTGCGTACCCATAACTTTTCTAGTATGATACACATTTTTGATCACACTCTCTTAGATAAACCGATTTGTAAAGTTAACTACAAAGCTAAGCCGACAATTCCATCACAAATAAGCCGACAGTGATTTCTTTGGTGCGGTTCTTGGGTAGATTATTACGTTATGCATTGTGCGAGGGATTAGTGTGAGTGCACCGATATGCAGTAAAGGACTAAAGGAGTTTATTATTAATTTGTCATGTGGCACAAATGGATAAGAGCAACCACTTAGGAGCCGGCTGGAAACGCAGGTAATTTGCGATAATCACAGTCATTATTATTATTATTATTATTGAAAAAAAAAAAAATCGGGAAAATTATGCTGGATATCATATTTGGCCCAGTTGGTGGTGTAGAATGAATTTTTGGCAAAGTATCGATTATTGCACTCGCATAGCTTATCTAATTCGACTTCAAAGTGGATGTGATAAATGGTTTTGGTTTGTTCCTCTATTTTGCTGCTATTAATTATCAGTGTCAGCTGCATAATCGAACATAAAAGACCTTATTACATACACCGTATAGATAAGTTTAATAAATTTCACGTATACAATAGCCGCCGCGCCATAAATAATTAATATTTATTAGTGCAAACATTATTCAATACGGACTACAATGATTTTCGCCAACGATAAACAAATGGATCGGCCGCATGTGGCTAATTTGAATTCTCAAAAATCGAAAATTCAGACGAGGTATTAATATTCATTACGAAACTATGTAGTGAAATGAATGTCTTTCTTAAATCCTTTAATATATCTTCACACCTTTTGCCATCGGCCGCCGGTATCCAACAAATGTTCACCTCTTTGACTTCACGGAAAGTTTGTTTGATTTATATTTACTAAGCTCATTACTCATTTTTCGGAAAGCCTCAAAAGCGGCACAACTATGTAAATTAAACCAAATTGACGTAAAATACGAGCTTACCAAATCTTCAGTTTCTAGATCTATACATTATCTTTATAGATCAATAAAAGAGGCAAAGGAGCTTTTCCGTGAAGCTGCCCGTGATTTACACCCCATAAAAGTCTAATCTGACTCCCAACGGGAATTAATTCTCCAGTGACGATCACGACAAAGTGCAATTTTGACTTCGCTTCTTAATTAGCAAAATCAACTTTGGTCGTCAAATTTGACTTTCACTGTTCTCTTTTGGAGCGATGATCATCTTTAATCTCAGTGTCACTAAAACCAAAAATGGCGAATTTTGACAAAGGTGAAGTTTGATCGCCAAGCAGTAATCAGTTTTAGAATTTTGATTTCGCAGAAATTTGGAATTCAAAATGATTCTTATATAAGATTTAGAATTGTGATTACTGATAAACACTCCAGAAATGACAAATTTTGACAAAGTAGATGTTTGATCGTCAAACAATTAACAATTTTAGAAGTTTGACTTCAACAGATGGTCAATTTATAGATTTAGACTTAATAATGTGACAAAATCGCACACAAAATTATAATGAGATCAAATTTCTAGAAATAACATATTGCGAAGTTCTGTTAGACGTGACAATTTGGCGAAATCGCCTCAGAAAACTTAATTTAGTTATTAAGATCTCAGGCGGCGGATTTTGACACAGTACACGTTTGATCAAATTTAGATTTGACTGTTTGATCAGTTTAGAATTTTGCCTCCCGCAGATGGCAAGTTTCTATATTTAGGATACCGTTTGTAACGACTCTATTTATAATTTGTAGAATTACAGATAATCGGTTTTTGACTCCTTTGACAAAACAGCGAATTGCGTGGATGCTTTTGACACTGCCGTGGAGCAGTAGCGATTTTTCTTGTCTTGACAGGTCAATCTGTGTCATTACGAGTGTCAGATAAGGGCCAATTAGCACGACAGCGCTTTTCCGCAGCTAATTATCCGTTTAAGCATGTCTCTGGTGTTTTCGCGAATCGTCTGAACGTGTGCAAATAGACAATAATCGCTTTGGTCATTATTTTAATTACTATCTGTCGAGCGTAATGGTAATAGAATTATAATAGCCGCCGGTACTCATGGCATATCATTAGCACCCGCTTAATTTAAACATTGTTTTCACTGCTAATTATTTAATAAAGTCATTTATTTTAGCGGGAGTTGGAGGTTTCATCCCCGAAAAAGCGGAATAAATTAGGTGCTTGATGTGGGATGAGACCCCATTAGTGGGCGCGTGAACGGCGGCTCTTAGACCATTCTTTCGTGTTGGTAATATTCCGACATCAACTACTGTTTACATAGTTGTAGAACTACATGTTGACTAAGTTTTAATGGGATGTTCTAACCCTCGATGAGTCTCCCAGGGTTTGCGCGACCCCAGCGAGCTGTAACGAGGACACAATGACAATATCTCAGTGCCACAAAGCACGTGTCGAGCAAACACTCCTTTATTACAGCTATTAAAAGCACATTGAACAACTTTTACAGAATACTTTACTAAAAATACAAAATTAAAAAATATAACTGCAAAAGTATCACAGTCTGATGACATTATTAATTAAATCGTTTCTGTTTCGGTTGACACAAAGCGGTTATAAAAACAAGGCGGGCCGACAAAATTTTTTGGCGAAATAAATATATACTGTGCTTCGCCTGCAATTATTTGATAGTGTTTTAAGTATTAGTTATCATTTAACGTGGTATTGGTTGTGCTTTAGAAGCGAGGGAGCGTTTGTGTAAATCACTTTAGAGATTTTTCCGTTTTATTTAGCTGTTGGCTAGAATTTTGGGTGTATCGTTCTGTCAGGTGTGTTGCAAAGATCTATCTGAAGTCCACTTTTTTTCTTATTATTCATCAACGACATCACAATCATCGACAGACAAATTTCTGACATATTTGTAAATTTTTCTGTTATTATAATAAAGGTGTTATAATTCATATATATGATTTGCTAACGTTAAGGGGTTTCCATATATTTGTAAAATTATAAAAACTTCATTGATAATTACAGGCCATCAGTGAATAATTACAATAGTGTGTAAAAACATGGGAAAACAGCGTGTTTTTTGCTGCTGGAGGTACCCCTATTGTAAACGTATTATTACTGACATGTTTTTGCAATGTCTAACATTCTTCTACTATGTAATAAAATTTGATATAAGTGTGTTAAAAAATCTTTAAATTCTATAGCATTTTTCTCTTCTTGACAGACAGCTGAGGAAATTATTGACATATCAGATTTGTAAACACGAGATAATCGTGACGATGGTTAAACGCCAACCAAAATTTGTTTACGCATCCCTTCCAAAAAAAAGATGACGTCATTTCAAACTATTTTAAAGTCAAATTTTAAACGTTTTCAAACAAATTCATAATTTAGAGATACCTAACAGAACGTTGAAACGGTTTATTTATTGTTCGTTTTTAAACAAGTAGCGACGTCGGTTAAAAAATTATGGGATATTTCAGCAATCATTTTTCTACGCTTTCGTTTTTTTTACAGAAAAAAATTTGATAACGACTAACGAGCAAGTCCATAATTTAGACACATCATAACCTTAAAAACAGTTGTGAAATATAGTGCGTATTTTAGCATTAATTTTTCTGTACAATCTCGTGTGGAAAGCCGCTTTCGTTTTTTTCATCAAAAAAAATAAGTTTGATAACGACTATCAGCGCAATTTATCCGAACGTCGCAGAATTGTTTAAAGTTGCACATAAATTCGCTGTGGAAAGTGCTAAAAGTCACTCTCTCTGCACTTTATCGTGGCGAAAAAATTATATTCTGCCAGGGGCTCCCCTATCGAAGCGATTGACAATGAGCTACATTTGGCCGTTTCCCACTAATGCACACTTTGTGATAGGAACTGGGGAAGTATCTCATTGTGCAATTTGTGAAATGGACTAATTTGTCACACTTTTGTTCACAATGGCCGATGTCTCTCATTCCCGATAAATATTTACATGGTAAATTATTGTATTATTTCGCCTTATCAACATACCGAAGAATGCACTTATTTGTTTCACATAAACAAATCACTTCGTCGGTGATTTATTCAAATTGTGGCTACAATTATTGTAGTTGTATTTTAATCGTCGGTTAGTAAATTGATAACTGGCATTTTACTACAGCAACTAATCAAATTTAACGACAATGGCTAAAACAGACCATAACTCTTAGCTCCGACGTGTTGCAAAATATTTGTCACGTCGGTGGAATTGTTGAAACAACTGAACTATTTTTACTCATTCACGCGACCAAACACAACCAATACCGCAAATATCCAGCATATATAATATTTAAAACAAAAAATCATATGTAAACTTTATTATATATTACAAACAAATACAAAATATTGCTTTTAAGCAAAGTCAAAATAATACATTTTCTGAACACCAACGACGTTACACAAAACTTGTAGTTAATGTGCTTGAAGAAGTCTTAATTATATAATATAACAAAGAGAGAGATGCAGTTGTCTGCTATCACTACAAGAATAATAATATTAATAAACATTGAACTAAAAAACAAACTTAATAAAAATTCTAAAAACACAGCAACAAAAATAAAACACTCTTTATATCCAGAAAAATTATTCTTCTTTCTGAACCTTTGGCACTTTGCACTCCTCATTTTCGACATTTTCTTTTTTCGTGCTCTTTATATCAGTTTCCTCGTTCTTCTGATCCTGACACTCATCCCCCTTTTCGACATTTTCATTTTCCGTGCTCTTTATATCAGTTTCCTCGTTCTTCTGATCTTGACACTCATCCCCCTTTTCGACATTTTCATTTACCGTGCTCTCTATATCAGTTTCCTCGTTCTTCTGATCTTGACACTCATCCCCAGTTTCGACATTTTCATTTTCCGTGCTCTTCGTATCAGTTTCCTCGTTATTCTGATCTTGACCTTCATCCCCCTGTTCGACATTTTCATTTTTCGTGCCCTTTATATCAGTTTCCTCACTCTTCTGACCCTCATTAGTGTCACAAGATTTTAGTAGCTGCATTTCTAACAGCTCAGACAAAGGGAGTTCATCTGTGCTGTCGTAATCACTAGACACGAATGAATCTGTGACTACATAATCTGACGGATTCACAGAAGAACTCTGGCCCGAAGTAGTACTACAAAAGTGGATTATTTTTGCACTAACTAATAGAACAAAATACCCAGTAGGAGGATCTTCGTTATCTGAATCTTCGTCATCTGAATCTTCATTTTGTGAGTCCTCAGAAGATGTAGAACCGTTGAAGGAACCACTGTTTTCGAAAACTACATAATGGGTGCAGATTACGTCGGAGGATGAACTACTGGTAATCGAAATCACTTCAATCAGGTCGGAATTGCTACATAAATATAAGTTGATGTTTTGAAAATTAAATATGTGAAAGTACTACCTGTCGCTGTCGATCTCCACCACCTCATTTTGATCCTCTTTCTCCACCACCTTATTTTGATTTTCTTTCTCCACCACCTCATTTTGATCCTCTTGTTGCCTAACAATTCAGAAAAAACAAAAGTGTTAACACAAGAGAATCAAGAAACTAACTTTTTAGTACCGAGAATAACTTTAAACTTATCACAATACGGGGTTCAGAGCAGTTGTGAATGTCAAAAGTAGCTAAAATAACTATTTATTTACCCTAAAAGGTAAAGAAAAGCCACGCCTTTTCGTACAATTTTAATTATTAAAAATTGGTCCAAGGTTCCTTCGACCCTTGAAGTACAGTCCAAAGAATTCCGCTTCTTTGAAAATTATATAAAAAAAATGTTTTCTGATAACCTTTATATAGTTTATATAGTCAGTGTTGTAAATGACAAGTTCCAAATAGGTGCCGTCCGCAGACATACGGACAATATGAAAAATAGTCAAAGCAAATAACCAAAAGAAAAGAGTGTATTATTATCAGTGTACATGCTTAACTTCGATTGTTTATGTTTATACATCGAAAGAGTGTCATTGTTTAATTTGAATGAGTTGCTTCTCAAAACGGCAGACTAAAATTATTAATTAGGCCATAGTGGAACAAAATGTTTTGAATATTATTATACTTATTTGATCATAATTAATGTTTTTGCGAAAATTTGAACGTTTAGCGAAAAAACTAAAGGCGGATTCGTACACTACAAGTACAGGAATATATTTTTGTATAACATTCAAAACATTTTAAAATACAGTTCATTAAAATGACGTCATCAAATTGTTAGTGGGGATGATTAACAAAATTTTGGTTAGCATTTAACCATTTACATGATATTTCTAATATACATACAAAATTTGACAACAATCGGTCCAGCAGTTTCGGAGTTTACGTGTCTAATAAAAAGTGGATACAGACACCAGATAGACAGACAAACAGACGGAAATGGGAGACTACTTTTTTCGTACTATAGGGGTTATGAAACGTCGAGAAAATATAAAAGTGGCTATTCATCCGATAGATTCGATTGGCTTACACTCGGGAAGTGAAAATGTATAAAAATATATCAAAATAAATATTAATTACAATAATTCTTCTTTTGCTTAAAAGACTAATCAAATTACTCTTTCGGTTTTGGATGAACTTTTCTATTTTACAACATACATTTTTTAGACTTTCCTTTTTTAGACGGTATTCGCTTGCGCTCTGTGAAATCTTTATACTGATCTTGTGCAATTTTTAAATTATTTTCTAAAGCAGCAGTGTCGATTTTATTTGAATTTATTTTTGTTTCCATTTCCTTCATTTCAAGTTTCAATTTTAGTTGTTTTCGTCATCTCTACTCGCTTTTCAAAGTTTAGTAATGAATAGCTAAATATTACGAAAAAAGTAAAGTTTAGCTAAGCCATGTCTAAATAGCTAAAAAAGCTAACGACTCTGAACTCTGCAATAAGTTTAAAGTTAAAGTAACATATTGTAGTTGTTCTTACTCATTCCTGGGTTCCTCATTCTCGCTAGAGGTATCCATTTCATTATCCATAGTTTCCATGATGAAAAATCACTTAAAACAGGCTACATTTTCATATAACAATATCTTGTTAGTCACACAAACGTGATACCATTGATAACCACAAAGGAATTTGAAACTGAGTCTTATATGAGAATAATCGCCATTATAAAATTACAAGGACGCTATTCAATTCATTCCCTCGCTTAAATTACAAGATAAAAAGCACAAAACACTACAAGTGGTAAGTGAATCACACACAGAATCATCATCAAATTAATTCACAAATACTGAACAGAAACTTTCAACGCCTTTGTGGTGGTTGTGCAAAATCGCTTGAAACGGTTTAAATTCAAATTATTACCACGGTTACGGCAGAAGATGCAACACCTCGCTTTAACGTTGTGTGAAGACGATGAAATGTAACACTGATCGAATGAAAACTAGGTTCAACAGTAAGTAAACACAGTGGAGATGAATATTTTTTTTTAAATTCACTAAAAGCAGTAATTTGAGATGTATCAGTCGTAAGCTCGGAAGTTACGAATACGGGCTATGTGACAAATGCCGCTTTTCGCCGCACATGCGCAGGAGGCGCTCCTGTGCTTAAATCCAAACCCAAGGCGGGAATTACAAATTTATCAGTATTTAATTAATTAAATTAATATCTTATTTATCTTTTAACTAACCCACGTCGGATTTATCCAGACATGGAAAAGAATCGGTCTGCTAAAAATATACTAAATATTAAAGACAAAATTTCAACAAAATTATAATATGTTACAAAGTATTGAAGGAAGTGCTCAACCTAGTCCCGATCAGAGTAGTATATACGAAGCATTTTATTAAAAACGCCGTACGTTTTGTTTTTTATAACGTCCAGAGACCCCAAAATTTGTTGATGGTGGATTTCAAAGGAGAATCACATTATGAAATAAAAAAGTTGGTTTCATTCATGCGAAACTATAAGCTAAGAAAATGTTGCCGATCGAGATTTTCATGTTTATTTTTTTGCCGCAGCAAGTGCACACACAAGAAAAAAAAGTTCGTTTCTTGAAACCAATCAATGCCATAAATTTGTAGTCAGCAAGATTCAAAGTGGTTATTATGCTCGGGATATAATGAATAGTTATTTATATGCATTTGTGAACATAAATCATGTAATGCAACTACTAAACTACACTGTTGTGACATTATGACATTTACTTACTACAAATATAGCGACTACATAATCATGTGACGTGAATTTTAATAACAAAAGTGTTACTACTTACTATTATTTTTAGTGTTTTTATAAATCGCTTTTATGTATTTTAGTGCATTATTTCAACATGAAAAGGTACTCAAAAGTTGCACCATCATTAATTGTGTAACTAAGTAGATTTATCAAGCTCGTTAATCACTTGTATTTTTCCCAATAAAAATAACGACATTTTTAATTACAATTGTCTATAATTTAATAAACTGTCGCATAATTAAACCGCAATAAATAAAATTAAGGGGAAACTAACAGGATGTTTATTCATTCAGAAAATTTCAGCAACCTTCGGAGAACACCCGGTTTTACTTCACTTAAACCATTACATACTCAGATCACAATTAAATAATGGAATTACAGACGATTCGAAGCCACAACACGAAAAAGAAAATTTCTAATGATAAAGAAATTGTCCTTGGTGATCTATGAGGCGAAACGTTTTTTACTCAAACCACCAATAAACATGCCAAAGCGAGATAAATAAATAAATGTTTTGCAAAAAGTCACTTTTGTATTCTGCAATTGTGTCTTTCACTTGAAACTACAGTTAGTCATGAGGGTGAAGTTTGTTGCACGAGCCTCATGCGAGTATATTTTGCTTCATTTTATATATCCTACATAATATTTAGTACTCAGTCCAGCCAAAATATTTATCTCCGAACAAAGAACCCCAAATTTGAAACAAAATTACCCGAAATAAATCACAGACACTATTCCTAAAATCCATATTTACAATTCCGAGAAGTCGTCCTGGTCTTTGTGTTCACGATATAAGGTCAAGTTATTGTGTTGTAAAAAATTCTAATCCACAAATTTACTACCTGACTTTATAAGACATCAAAATTTAACGATCATTTTATAAAGCAAACACCATCACTGGGTTATTAGTGCTGTTTTTGATCAACAACTGGTTTTTGTTTATTCAACTCGTTGACTGTGCGTGGATTTTTCTCGTGTATTATTGAGTTTTAGCCGTCAGAAATTTTCCCGAATAGCGTGCAATTTATTGAGATTGTTCCCATTATCTTGCGAAGGGGGTTGCTATTACGCTGAAAAACGCGTATATCCTCCACCTTGGTCGATACGTTGGGGTGCGTTTGAAATAAACTTGGCATGATTAACGTGACACCCCGAAATAATAATCACTAAACACGACAATAAAGCTGCCGCTCGTAGTTTAACACAAATATTGACTTTGAGTTAAAACGCAATTTTTAATCTTACACAGAATCATTAATATGTTAATTAGACACTAAGCTTGGGGCGTTAGCTCAAAACGACTTTCTAATTGAAATAAAACTAGCAATGTTTTAAACGACATACAATCAACTGAATTTTGTTTATTGTGGGTTCAGGAAGTTCGGATCTGCGCCCAGTCCGTTTCAAAAACTGGCACTAATTTTTACATAGGATGATAACTAATTTTTGTTCTATAGATTTTTATATCGTTTTTTTCATATATAGTGTGTTATTTTGTTTATATAATGAGTTATTGTTTTGGAATTTTTGTGCCAGGTACCTCCCGCGACCTACACTTTGCCGCCTTGAAAAGTTTTTTCGGTTTGTTGGTAGTAGAGCAGCGAAAACTTTAATGTCTTGCTTGGCGTCAGTAAAATGCCATTAAGAAAAGTTATTCAGAATTAAAAAATATTAACGTGCCAGCCGAAATAATAATCACTAAACACGACAATAAAGCTGCCGCTTGAGTTTAACACAAATATTGACTTTGAGTTAAAACGCAGTTTTTAATCTTTACACAAAATCATTAATATGTTAATTAGACGCAAACCGTCGGGTCGTTAGGTAAAAATGTGTTTTTAATTAAAACAAAAACCAGTAGTGGCTTAAACGACTGACCGTGCATTAAATTTTATAGTCATTAACCTGTAGGAGGCGTCGCTAATAATCTACAACTTTGACCATTTACTCGAAAAAAATTAACACTCACATAAAATGGCTAATAACGTGCCTCGCAACATGCTTTACAATTTTATTAATTAATAAAGTTTTTATTAAAATATGCTAATCACTAGCAAAACATTCAACTTCCATACCGACACGTGTTTCATGCTTCATGTAAACAATGTTCGTTTTTAAAAATCCATAATGGAGTATGTTCTGCGATCCCCGATAGCATTGTATGTAATAATTTGTTTGATAAACTCACTTAATTAGAACGATCTTTATCGGACGCTAACTTCACACGAAACCGAAAGCTCGGCATCCAACGAAAAAAATCCATAACGTAAATGATTTCCATTTTATTCAGCCATTAATTTTATGTTATCTGCTCACACAATAAACATAAGTAGCCTTTTTCAACGGTAATTTCATTATAAATAGAAAACCCGCACACAACTGTTTCGAAATACTACACCGACGTTGCCTACACGAAAACTTTTATTATTTATAGTAATTTCTTCCGAGTTTATTAGTAAGGTAAATGCGTTAACGCCGGAGAAGACACAATCCACTAAATAAAAATTACAGTCGGACGCGATAAACGCCGTCTCGTGAAAGTGAATATACACCGGACGCAATATCAACCTATTCATGAAAGAATTTTTTTAATTAGAGCATTAAGCATCAAGCTGGCCCAATAGCGTATATGTAAAGTTAAATCATATTTTGCAAGGACGCCATTGTATAAGTGAATTATATCTCTTTAAGGAAAATTTATGAAGTGTGAAATATTACGAGAGTATTGTTTTGCGTAGTAATATTTTAAGTATATCTTAAGTATTTAAAGTATAATGTCAAATGGCAAGCATAACTCTGGTAGAAAATAACCGCTTATTAGTGACTTGACAACGTGTAATGAAATAGTAGCTAGGAGAGTCTACGGTGTGAAGAAATTGTTGAAGAAACGTTGATTTGACTATATGCTGGCATTTTCAAATCAAAAAATACATTAATTTTCGTGGTCATTAATCTGTCTAATAAATAAGAGAAAGAATGTGTAAAATCTACAACGGTGTGTCAGCAGCAGATAGTTAAAATAATTGTGTGCCATCAATTGTACCTTTGTTCCATTATTTAAATATACCTGCATAAGTTTTGCGTCAACGGTATTACAATGATGACAATTAAATTGTCATTACTAGAAATACGTGGTAGTTGTACATTATGTCGCTTGTTTGTGAAGATAAGGTAAATTCAAAGAGCAACGATTGCGCTTCCTAAAAATTGTAAAATTAATTGAAAATTCGACAGACCCCATGTTTTCCAGAGTTATGCCTATTGAATTTATAGGGCGATATTTCTGTCGCTCGAGCTATAAAATAAACATGGTCTGAAAGGACAGCGGTTTTGATTCAAAGCGTTTGCTGAATAAGAATTAAGACCACTAAACAACCTAGTAGGTATAATCATCATAAATTATCCATGTATGCATTACACCTTATAAACCGTTTGCTATTAAATTGAAGTTTAATATTTGCTTTGACTTCAGTTGCGGGTATAATTCTTTAACTCGACTTCCTTTGATGTTACGTAAGTCATCAGGTGCATGGGTCGACGTATTCCCGACGTATGCAATATGCGAATTACAGGTGTTTATATTGAGTAAGTAGCAAAAAGCGAGCAGTTCTAACGGAAAAAGGGGATTAATGAAGGGAAGGATGATGCGGGCTAAAAGATTACAAATACACAATAATTTAATATAATTGTTAGCAAGTTTTTTCGATGACATTGTAATTAATTAGGGTGCGTTTTTGTTCCAGAAATGCCAAGGCCACCTCGTGAGACATACGGGGATCAGAAACCACCATACTCGTACATATCTCTAACAGCTATGGCTATTTGGAGCTCTCCGGAAAAAATGCTACCCTTATCGGAAATCTACAGGTTTATAACCGATCGTTTTCCGTACTACCGCAGGAACACTCAGAGATGGCAGAACTCCCTGAGGCACAACCTCTCCTTCAATGACTGCTTCATCAAGATCCCTCGCAGACCCGATCGTCCTGGTAAAGGCGCCTTCTGGGCTCTCCACCCCTCCGCTTTGGATATGTTCGAGAACGGAAGCTTCCTGAGGCGGCGGAAGCGGTTCAAGCTACCTAAACACGTCCACGAGGAGTTGGACAGCCTCTCCAAACTCAATAGTTCCTTCATGTCTGGCCAGACCGTCAGCCCGAATTCCTCTTCTTGTGTGACGAATGTTCCTCCTATAGTGTGTCCGGCTACCGCGGAGCCGCTCTCTCTGCCCCCGATTACCCCCATCACCACCACCACCCCCGCGAAGTCCTTCAGCATCGACAGCATCATCAGCGAGACCAAAACCCAGCCAACGCCGCCTCAGGTTCCGGCGATTCCGCCCATGCAGACCCTCCCGAATTTCTCCTGGGTCAACATGATGACTCCCTCGACCTCCCAGAACGAGATGCAGAGCAGGGATGACCTTCTCATTGCCCAGCAGGCGGCGTTCTTTGAGTACGCAGCCGCTATTTTTTCTATAAATGCCACGACCAACGCGAAAAGGGCCACCGGAGTCATTCGGCCCTTGCCCATAATGCCCAGCGCTTTGTACCCAGCATGCCACGTACCAGTACCAGTGCAATATTCGTTCTGCATGCCCAATGTGCGTAACGTAGAATATGAGACTGAACATGAATGTGATAGGACCGTGGATAAGAGTATCTCGAATTACCTTATCCCACAGAATGGACCGGAGGACAACATTGAGATATCATCGTCGTCGTCGGAAGAAGCCACCAACGTGTAAATATTTGTTGTGTATAACTGTGTTAATGTATTTAAGTTCTTAGACATTTAAATAAAAGTTGATCAAAGTGAAACGAGATCTAAGTGTACCCTCTATATACAGTAGTTCCAAGAATAGGCTTGGTAGGTACTTCCTAGACGACTACAACAACTGCAAACCCAACTCCCACCATGGGCTACCAAATGTTTCTCTCGTGTACCTCGATTCCTGGTTAAAGTAACCCATCGCTTCCCAGGTACCACCTATAATGTTCCTTCTATTTGTTCTTAGATATTTCAAATAAAAGTTGATCAAAGTGAACTAATAGCTAAGTGTATCCTTTAGACGTCTGTAGATAGGATAGTTCCAAAAATAGGCGTATCCGAATCGGTATGGCTAAAAACACTAACAGAACCGAGAATTTTGGGTTATAGCTCAAAATGTAAATAGATCTACCGGAATCATACCGTCCCTGCCCACCACGTTGACGACTTTGTGCCTCACGTATCGTGTCAATTTTTGCCATAAATTAACAACCTGAAAAAAAAATTATCTCAAGTTACCTTATTCCCCAAAATAAGACAACCGCGGGCCACCATCTTGTGGCCGCTTATAATTTACACATTTAAATAAACAAAAGTTGATCACAGAGAACGAATCTACTCTACCCTTTAATTTTTTCTCTTCCTTCCTCATCGGTAATCGGTGAGCTCGACCCGACCCTTTCATCTATTAGCCTTATCTGTAGATATCGGTAATTCCGATAAAGTGTTTTCCATACAACAGCAGGTCAATAATTATACTAGGCCTGTTTTTATCTAACAGCCCATTTTTCTTGCCAGGTGTTAGTGATTTAATTTGCGGGCCCGTTTATTCGGTTCCGTAAAACGATCACCTTTTTTTGAACCACCAACCAATTTAAATTTAAATTATCAAAAATGTATACACTACCAACGGGAGGAAGTGGGATGGGTGGAGCCGTTATTAAAGATAGCATAGTGTGATTTTGAGGAAAGGGGTAGGTCGGACATGAATGAGGCGATTTTCTTACAAAATGAAGCAGATAAGAATAAATTTAAATTAAAATGGAAGAGATAAAAAATATTTTCTGGTTGAAGTGTAAAAATGAGGAAGCGGTTCGGTGAGAGCGTGGAATTGACGTAACTGACGTGACATTAAAAAAAAACTATATTTATTGTCACGATAGTGCCAGAATAGTGCAGTAAAATAATGTCGACGTTTTGAATGTTGATTTCTCTCGGTAGTAGGCGACGTTTTTCCAAAAGGCGGCACAATTAATATGGGACCCGCTTAAAAATAAGCGATATCAGTGTTCGCTTTAAATAATTATGTTAAATGTATGAAAATAATATCGAAATTAGTGAAAAATTAATATAATACTAAATGCTTCATTATTATAAAATTGCCAGCCTTCTTTCTACTTTAACTGACGTTTTATCTCTCGCCGTTTCCGGTATTACAGTTAGTGAATTACTGAGCAATGAAAAAATCACCACCTTGTATATTTAAGTAGCTGTAAAATAGTTTAGCATAAATTTTCATAATATCTGCCCATTTATTTACTGATTTTTTATTTATTACGACGGAAAATACCAATAAAGTATTTTTCATGACTCCAAAGAGAGGACAACAAGAATAAAAAAATAGTCGAAAGTTCTTTAAACAGAACTTCCCTCGCTCCTGAAGTACAATGAAACATATCCAGCATTTCCTAGTTGAATCTTTTCTTAACACAATTTTGTGATCACGTCATCAACATTTTTCCAATTTTCGTTTTGTGATAACCGTTGTAGAGTGAAAACCAGAGGCATAAACAACACCCCTTGTCCTTCAGCAGTCGATAACAGCAAAGCTCAAGTGTTTATTTATGTTTATACATCGAAAGAATGTCACGTAGAAGTTGGTTTGATTTGAATGGGTTTGTCTTCTCAAAACAGGACTAAAATTATTAATTAACACACTATCATTATTATATAAAGACATGCGTTTTCTTCACATTTTCGAGAAAATGGGGTAACTCGTGACCAATAAAAAATTTGTGATGACGTCATCAACATGGATAATTCTGGTCTCACCATAAAAGAAAAGTCACAGATGTAAGAAAAAAAAAAGAAAGGGCCAAGTTCGGTATCGAACCATAATCACAGTACCGGAGATGGCCATTATCTCCGACACACCTACTGCGCCACTGAGACGGTCAAACCGTGTCGGGAATATAACGTTATTGTACCTTGCAAATGTTTTTTGCGAAAATTTGAACGTTAACGAAAAAACTGAAAATGGATTCGTACACTACAAGTATATGAGTATAATGTTGTGTAACATTCAAAACATTTTAAAATACCATTCATTGAAATTACGTCACCAAATTGTTGGTGGGGATGATTAGCTAAATTTTGGTTAGCTTTTAACCATCTACATCATATTTCTAATACACATACAAAATTTGACAATAATCGGTCCAGCAGTTTCGGAGATTGGGTATCTAATAAAAATGGATAGGTACAGACAGACAGACGGAAACGGGAAACTACGTGTTTCGTACTCTAGGGGTCATGAAACGTCGAGAAAACATAAAAGTGGCCATCCGATGGGCTCGATTATATATAATACTTCTTTCGCTCGGGAAGTAAAAATATAGTTAAAAAAAAATTGGTACAAAATGGAACCAAAAAAGGAAGTCAAACAAATGTGAAAAAATGGTATACAAAAGGGTGACTAAAAAAAAGCGATAAAAAATTGGTAAAGGAAGTGACAACAAATGTAACAAAAAAGTTACAAAAAAGTGAAAAAAACGACAAAAATAAGCTAAGAAAAAAAGGCAATAAGAAAAAGCGACAAAACACAAAACCAATAAAAAGGCCACAAAAAGAAAGATACGAAAACAGTAAAAAAGCTTACACATAAGCGATTGCAAAAGACGAAGTGACAAAACAATGAAAGGCAAAAAATCGGTTAAAAAAGTAACAAAAACGGGCGACAACAAAAACACAAAAAAGCGAATAAAAAGACGGTGCAAAATATTTATGAATACTTACACTGATAAACCAGAAATAAGAGATAAATTTTATAGCAAATAGTATAACAAAAAAATTGGTCTAAAGAGTTTAGACAGTACTTACCTCGCTGTTGGAAACTTGACGACTGCATGCCTATTGTGTTTTTTTTCTCATTACATTTTTGTAGTGGGAATTTAAAAAAAATTGCAATGACGTCATCAACATTTTTGCAAGGACACGTATATCAGTTGGAATAGATGTAGTGTAATACTAAGAATAAAATTATTGTATTTCCAAGTTTTCGGGAAAATGAATTGGGTCGTTTTGATTATTGATTTGTTATAATTAATAAAATAACGAAACAATTTACTCACGTGTACGGCGCCGGCGTGTAATATGAGAGGCAAACACAGAAACTGTAAACAAAACCGATGGTCGTCTAGAAATTTTTATTGCTTCGACTTCCGCTTATTATATAAAATATTGGGTTTTATTTTAATTTTTGACGGTGAAATTCACAATTGGTTGATTATAAACATGTCTATTCCACATTCGCGGAACCTAGTCAGCGCACAAAACAAATGCACGTCTGTAATGTTAAAGTCGATGTAAATAGGCGTGCTACCCCAATGTTTCAACCAAGTTTTTACTTTAAAAAATTTTGTGTCTATCAAATTGGGTTGGTTCAATGTAATACTAATAATAAGTGTTGCCTTTAATTTAATCAATAAAATAAATTGACTTCATTAATTTTTTTGAGCCACCTCTTAAGCAAATCTAAAAAATATGAATGGAATGATAAATCACAAGTCCAAACTCATCATATTTTTTGCATTTTAGATAGGATTTATTCAGCAAAATTTTGGAGTGACGTCATCAATTTTTTAGGGGGGAAGAGCAAATACATTTTGATAAAAAATTTACCATGCTTATGGTAACTTTAAAACATCTCCAAGATTTCAAAGCATTCGATTCTGTAATTCCTGATTAAATCAATAAAATAAATTGACGCATTTATTAATTTTGTTCGGTCACCCTGTATATGCAAATCGAAAAAATTTGAATGGAATGATAAATCACAAGAAGAGACTCACCATATTTTGCACATTTTAGATAGGATTTATTCAGCAAAATTTTGTGGTGACGTCATAAATTTTTTAGGAGGGACGACCAAATACATTTTGATCAAAAATTTACCATGCTTATGATAAATTTAAAACATCTTCAAGATTTCAAAGCATTCGGTTTTGTAGTTCCTGAGTAAATCAGTAAAATAAATTTTGCGCATTCATTAATTTTTTTGAGTCACCCTGTATATGCAAATCCAAAAAATATGAATAGATATATCACAAGTACAGACGCATCATATTTTGTACATTTTAGATAGGGTTTATTCGGCAAACTTTTGAGCTGACGTCATCAAGTTTTTGGAGGGGATAACCAAACATATTTTGACTAAAGATTTTAGATGCCCTTTAGAGCCTTAAAACATCTGCAACATTTCAAAACATTCGGGTTAGCAGATTCAAAATTAAATTGCAAAATCTGGACGTTTCGGGTAAAAACTCAATTCGGGGTCGTAAACTACATGTGTAGGACTATGTTATTTTATACAATTTAAGACCCATTTACTATGTACAATTTTGAAGTGACGTCATCGCATTAGTGGTGGGGATGATTAGACAAATTTTGGTTACTGTTTTACCATCTACATGATATTCCTAATATAAGTACAAAATTTCACAACAATCGGTGCGGTACTTTCGGAGATTATCTGTCTAATAAAAATCCGGGACGGCAGACAGATGGACAGACGGACAGACGGACAGACGGACAGACGGACAGACAGACGGAAATGGGAGACCTATTTCTTCGTCTTCTAGAGGTCATGGAAGATCGAGAAAAGGTAAAAGTAGAGAGTCGGCCGACGGACTCGATTACAATACTTCCTTTGCTTACGCTCGGGAAGTAAAAAATTACGATTGGCGCTTTTTTAAATTTTTTTCACATACTAGATTGTATTATTAGTTTGCAGTCTCACTCGATAGAAGAACATAATTAGC